CTGACAGGTACGAAAAATGCAAAAAATACCATACAGTTCCATACTGCCAGATTCGCTTTCGATCGTTTCTTCAAAAGCTTCTTCCCCCTGCATTCTCACCAGGCTGGCTCCAAGGTCTTGTTTAACATAAATAACCATACCCCTGTTGCAAGTTGCCTGAGAAAGGTTCGTAAATGAGACATATCCCCCTATAATAAACTTACACTCCTCTGTGGCGATCCTCCTGGTCTTATTCAACAGTTCTACAACACCTAAATATCGTGTTGGTGCTGTCTTGAGTTAACTCCACTCTTTTTGACAAGGAAAGTGTCAGTATTTGTGTACAATGAAAGACAAAAGTAGTGTCGTGAAATTTGGTGGAAACATATGCCGAAGGGCTAAACTTTTGGTGCGCTCTGCCTTGTGGTAGGGGGCTCTCATAATGTTTCACGAGTTATATTCAATCTTCCGACAAAACAGCGACAAGACTTTTGTCTTTAATTGTACATGACTCAAGACAGAAATAGTCCTTTTGGTAGTGACTCAAATTGGTAGTGGTTCTGGCCTCCTTCATTGTTAGCAGCTGCCTCATTTACTAACCTCACTGTACTTTGTGGGGTGTGGCCAGAGATGACATTGTTTACATGATGTGTTCCTCCTAGGTAGGAGGTCGAGGGGGTAGAGGGTGTCCTGTTGCCTTCTGGTTCTATGCTGGCACAGTTGCCTCTGCTACTTTCCCCTTGTATACAACCCACCCAAGTCTGTCTGCATTTTCACTGACTATCCCCCAACCACCCATTCTGCTTTAAGCACATCGGGAGTTGATTGCGCTATTCCCTCTGTACTACCCTGAGGTCAGAACATATAAATATATTGTACTCCGAAATGCTGCTTCCCCTGTCAAGTTTTTTACCTATCGAATAAATTTCCACTGTCCATATTCTGTGTTATTCTCTTGCTTCTGTCCTAGCCCTCACCTAGACATTAAGAGTAACTGACAGGTTCAGAGCCTCAGTACAGATACCCTGAAACTTCATCCTGTCATGTGTGTGGGCTCTTTCAAGACAGGACTTGACCACCACTGGAGCAGGTTCAGGAGCCGGTGCATGACCAGTACTTGCCAACAGTGAGTGACAGAGACGTGACCGATCAGTGGTGAAGAAGATAAAAGAATAAAATATAAAATATACCAGTAAATATTATACAGTAACCAAAGATAAACAAAAGTGTTATGATCAGCTTTGTGTTGCAACATATATAATGTTAACTTACCATGAGGGACGATGGAAGGCCCACAAATTAACATTTACTCACAAAATTAATAAAACACAAGACACCAAGTTGAAGTTTGTTGTCGACCTGCCACAGCTTGTCCGATTCTCTCTCTTATCTTTCAGTAATTACAAGTTTTCATTATTATTACTACAATAAAAGTATCAAAATAATGAATATTATATAATATAAATAAATTATAGTTTAATTTTAACGTTTAAATATTGACTAAATTCCCCCTAATGGTAATATATTAATGTTGTCAGCCGTCGGAGAGCCGAACAAGTTGACAGCATTTGCAAATTTACTAAAATAAATTTGAATAATAATATTTTCCCTTTACCTATTTAAAGTTTATTTATTAATATTTTATTAATATATAACACTATATATAAGCTTACCACACCACAATAAACCCGCTGTTTTAACTATTCATAATAATATTATTTATGGTAACTTTTAGTCTGAAACTACATAATTATTCTGCAAAATTTATTGAAAAATAATTGTTTATAATGTGTAAGGTTATTAATGATCAAATACAAGTTATTTTATCATTAATTAAGTCATTCTTGAATGATGCATCTGTGGGGTCAGTGACCTGTGCTCGGGTGGGCTAATCCCCGAAAAAACAAACAAAAAAACATGTCCTTGGCCGAAGACACACATAAGAAGGGTGTTTGAGTACCTCTCACTATTATGTCCTGTTGAACACATATTTTACACTATTGGGGTTGTAATAAAAATAAAATATTCAGCAATAGTTTAAATACTTATCGAGTATCCTCTTCACCACTGGTCGGTTCGTTAGCCGCTTAGGCGGTCGGTCACGTCTCTGATACGCACTGTTGGCAGATACTGGGCATGCACTGGCTCCTGAATATATCGGAACCTACACCAGTGTTGGTCAAATCTGGCCTTGAATGAGCTCACACTCGATGCCGTCACAACGTTCTCCAGAAGAGTTTTCCAAGAGTTCACATTTTCACTCCGAAAAAATTTGCCCACGCAGTTTTCTGGACTTGTGGCTTCTTCAACCTTTAGCTGTGACCCCTTGTGGTGCGGACGTCCGCCAGCTCCAGGTTTGTACATTCGACCGATTAGTGCCCCCAGAGATGTTTTTACATTTCAATTAGGTCGTCCCTCACCCGTCTATAGTATAAGCTGGGCACAACCACCTCCTTAACACCCCCAAACGACAACTATGGCACTATTGAAGGGCAAACTGGCAATCACTTGCGAGAATTCATCTCCGACTTTCCTTGGGATGAATGTTGCTTTTCCACTCGGGACGCCTCGGTATGTGCTGACAGCATTGCTTCACAAATGACGTGCATGAAGCTGTACTTTCCTCCATACAAATGGTTGCGGATGACGTCAAGTTATTTCGGGAAATTAAGAACCATGCGGACTGTCACCAGTCTTGTGGCCCTCCTTTGAACATTTTCAACCAACTAACAGTCCCTGGCATATCTCGGAGACCAGACATGGTGACAGTACTCCAGATGGGGAAGCACTTCACTCTTGAAGATCGTTACGAGGTCCAGATATCTAAACGACCTTTTTGTAATACCCAATAATTTATTTGCCTGCTTTACCTTCTTCTCGCAATGGCCCGAGAACTTCAGCTCTTTGTCAACATACACACCTAGGTCCTTTTCACACTCAGTCTCAACTAGTGCAGTTTCTTCATCCCGTTGGGACATATGATACGCCTCCTTACCGTTGGTACGCCCCAGGTGCATCCTCTTACACTTCGTGACATTGAAAAGTTGTATCTCGGTGGTCTTGATCCAGCCCATACCAGTACGTACTGATCGCTATAAGAACAGACCAATCCCAACCATTGTAAAAATTGTCAACAACTCGTTGTTAACCAGTGTGTTCACTCCCTGCCAGTCTTACTTTTGCACTGTGTTGAAATTCCCTGTTGAATGACCTTCTCCCCACCATCTTGTATTTGTCAATCAAGATATCTTTGCACTATGTTGGATCAAGCCTGAGTGTTATTAATTCAGTAAGCCGGGATCTCGATGTAAACTTTGCCTTCAGATATACTACTTCCTCCCTTAAATCTACAGCAGGTGTGTACATAATTCCATACAAGGTAAAACATTAAAAACTAAAATTAGCATTTGCATTGTATGTTCATGTGTGTAGTTGGGATCTTTTGTTGTTTCTGACACTCTCCAGGAAATGAACGATATCTGGCAATTCTTTCTAAATATAACCATGGAAAGTTTAGATTAAATATACCTTGAGAGTTTTCTTAACTGCTGTAGATACTATGAGCAACCTTCCAGAGAATTTAGCTAATCCTGGATCCTCGGGGATTTATATGACGATATTTATCCTGAAGTGATAATATGAAACACATCTTACTGGACGACATTAGTTACGACACCTCGAACACTAACCTCCAGATCTTGCAATGTGTCCTGTTTCTCCTGCTGCCGGTGCGCTGCGGGGTCCTCCTGACGCACATACCTGAAGTAGATGAGGTTGCCAAGAGCCCCGGCCATCAGAAGGTAGTACACCACCTCCACACACAGAGCCATCTTCTGATTCTTCTCTCCCATAACACCTGCTTCTGCTTCACACACACACAAACACACTCCTTCAAGAGCACGGCGACTACACATTAGCCTCTTAATATGAATTGTTCTTGTTTTTTCTGCTAGATATATTTGTATGTTGAAGCAAATAGTTACAGAAAGGAGAACTGGATCCACTGCTCTTTTTTAATCGTCAACTTGAGACCCTGCACTGTACAACGATGTCTTAAGGTTCCCACGTCCTGTATCACCCAAAACTCTTCTTGTGTGCAAATATACAAAGGGAATGGCCTCTATGATGATGCACTCGTGTAAGTAAACGAGATTATTGTTTAACTTGTATTCACCAGACATCTGTTATTGAAAACACCTGTGTGGCCAACAGGTGTGTTTGGCTCGAGACCCCGCTATAAACAACTACATTGTCTGCTAGTGAGGCATTTACTACGAAAGCCACAACAGAAAACAACACTCGCATATAAAAACAGCCACTCATTGAGACAAAACTGTATATACCGTAGAATCATATAAAGATGTTGGTTTATGAAGCGCATTTATTAGTGAGCTTTAACATGTACCGTATGGCGTTGAAACAGTGCTCTCTGTATTTAACATTATCTAAGAACACCAAGGAAAGAGCGCCAAGGAGTACACACGAGGTCCGGGAATGAGTGTGTGTGGAGTGAGTGATGTGTTGCTCTCGTTGATGTAAGGGTGTAAACAGCCTCTCTTGTGTTTTAACCCATACGTACTGGTTTAATTACTTTGCAATTATACAGATATTCAACAAGCTTATCGTTTATTGATGGCGGAGGTAAAATGAAAGGAGTTTAATTTAATTTTAAAACTATGATATAATTTTAATAAAAATTAAATATAATAACAAATGATTAACTTACAAGCACTAATCTTGCTTCATGCAACACATACTGTACATACTTATAATTAACATACCCTGAAATAAAGGAATATAATGCATATCAGTTATTAATATCCTAATAGTAATTTAGAACACTCGTAAATACAAACTTCCCTGTTTAACATGACTACTATGTACAGTAAAATCCAGTACGTATTCACAATCCTAAGGTGTAAGGGTCCCTGTGTGTGTGTGTGGTGGTCCTGTGTGTGTGTGTGGTGGTCCTGTGTGTGTGTGTGGTGGTCCTTGTGTGTGTGTGGTGGTCCTTGTGTGTGTGTGGTGGTCCTTGTGTGTGTGTGGTGGTCCTGTGTGTGTGTGTGGTGGTCCTTGTGTGTGTGTGGTGGTCCTGTGTGGTTTTTGGCACCCATTATAATTATCTATGTATATAAGTTGTTAGTAATAATTGTTTAGAACGCGCCATGTTCCTTGTAAGACGATGATTCATTTATGTTGGAGTTGTTCTTGTGTCTTACATTTCACTGAGGATAGAGAGTTGCCGTGTCAAGACGTCGTGCAAATGAGGGTTTTTCTCTTTGTCGATTATCTCTTTTAGAAATACATTTGGTAGTTATGAAGAAAAGCATCTCTGCCGAATAAAACTCGTATTTCTTTCAACAAAAGTCATAGAGGAAATGCCTTGCTTCTCGAGTTGTCATAATATAGCTTGAAACTTCTGAAAGTCCATATATAATTTTTGGTATACCGGCGGGCATGGGCAACCCGCGGCCCGCTTGCGGCCCGGACCATGTCTTTGTGCGGCTCGCGGAGTGATTGAGAAATTCTATTTAATGTGGCCCGCAGTTCAGGTAGATGAAGCTAGCCGGGGAAGTAAAGATGATTTCAGTGTCACCGAGGATCAACTAGCTCTTCAGTCAATGAAAGGGGCGACGATGGGAGAAGACCTTTTCTCAGAAGCAAAGTCAGTATCTGAACACCGAAAAGAAAAGGTAAAAACTGAGTGGTGTTACAACTGATGGGACAAGGGTTATCTATGGCAGGTTCCAATGTTGGCCTGGTTGCGCGAATTGAAGCAGAGATGTCTGATCGCAGCTTAAATCCTGAAGAACAATGTATTTCACTGTATCATCCATAAAGACTCTATCTATGCCTAGACACTTAATTTTAAGCATGTCATTAATCCAGTAATTACTTACATAAAGTTCATCAAACCTCGGGCTTTGAATCATCGCCAGTTCCCAGATTTCGTCTACTATTCTGATGTGCGTTGGCTCAGGAAAGGCTAAAAAGATGAAGTGTCTACCTTCATGGAAATGAAAGGTAAGCCAGTGCTGGAATTAAATGATAATGATTGGCTGGCTGAAATGGCATTTCTCGTCGATATTACGACACATCTCAAGGACTTGAACATCAAGTTACAGACAAGAGGTCAACGGATTCATGAGTTGCACAGCCACATCAAATCTTTTGAAAACAAACTGCGGTTGTGGCAGACACAACTTCGAAGAGATGACACATCACACTTTCTTACTCTCTCCGAAGTTTGTGGAAATAAATTCCTGGGAAAGGTAATAAATTTGATAGAAACTTGATGTTTTGAACCAGGAATTCCAATCTCGTTTCAATGACTTCAAAACTAAAGAAACCAGCCTAAACATTTCCACACCATTTCACGTTGTTGATGGCGCTCCAATTTATCTACAGATGGAACTGATCGAAGTTCAAGAGGACCGGGAACTGATATTTAAATTGGAAGATGTACCAGTTAACGAATTTTACAGCACAAATATCCAGGTTTCACGCATGAAGTTTATAAAGTCCAATGACAGATCCAGACTCACAGATGAGCATCTGGAGTGCTGCCTCAGGGTTGTAACCTCTGACATTCCTCTCTTGACTGTAAAAAGTTGGACAAAATTATAACCGAGTGTAAATAACAAATTAAGTCCCGATGTTTTACAAACTGAAACCCTGACTGGTTGTTTATATATCACCATTGAGTTATATGCGAGTGTCTCACAAAATGGAAAACATTGTGACTAGAATAAATTTATCTGCACCAAAATGTCTTATTAATTTTAACCTTGACTACTATTATGTCGCCTGCATAATTTTACTATTTCATGTTTTGATCACCTGAAGTTGAAATACTTTGGGATTGTAAATTTTTAAATAAATAGATGTGTCTATAGGTTGTGTCATTGTAATTCCTCGTACGCCAATATTAACAATGACATTATTCTGGTGGGTGTGTCTCATAAGTAAGAAAAATGCTGTAACTGTAGGAAAAATCAACGTATTCACAGACTGCTTCTTTCACCTTCTGTTAAATACTAAGAAACATTAACATTTTACTTCAAAAGTTATTACGATGGATTTGTTTCATATGTGGGAAAAAGACTAATTGTAAATTGAAAATATCGTAAGGTGGACGTGACGATAAACTGTTTCACTGTCCGTGCTAATACAATATTAACATCACTTTTTGACTAGGTAGGATATAAATTTTGGTGGGTTGGCCACAGAAAAATACCTATATCGTAATGCGGCCCATGACTGAGGAAAGGAGGCCCATGCCTGGGCCAATATTCAGTTTGGGTAACAGAAGATGGAATATTTTGGTCACAGTGACAGTTAATATTTTGAAGTGCACAACGCCACTACAGCCTTCATAGACCGACTTAAGATTACACACTGCAAATGTTGCTGTGTTAGAAATCCTTTACCAATCAACCACATCTGTGTCGTTACTGCTCTCTGATCCATCATATTCTTATACCCATAAGTTAACTTTATTTCATTACTATAATGTAAAAACTCATTTAAGAGACTTACTTAGGTTGCAGCACAGAGATTGGTGCCAAATTAATATGGCTATCACTTAACTTGATGCGTTGTCTTTTCCACAGTAATAACCCCTAATAATCCGAGTTCTGCATTACAGTCTAGACACCCTGACATCATCGTTGGCCACGCCAGGGTCACAGCAGGAGTCTGGTGTGAACGAAGATCGTGGACAAGATCTGTAGGAGTCGGACCCGCTTCTCCGTGAAGATAGAGTCGAGGACGCTGACGGCGGGGTACTGCGTGACGAAGCTGGGGAAGGCAAGGAGGAGGTGTATGGGATAGAATGAGAGGAGTAATAAGAGGAGGGAGGAGGAGAAGCGGAATATGTGGAGGAGACCGAAGACATTGAAGAGCGTGTGGATCGACGGCGGTGGGGCCGTGACGTGGGGTTTGACCTAGTGACCGATGTGGATGATGACCTCGGGCGCCACCTGCGGGAATTGGTAAGGTGAGGGTTAGCTAACAGTATGGGAGTATTGGTCAGCGAGTTTGGTACAGGTGGGCTGTGTATTGAAGTCTTACTTCGTTTTTCTTGTTTGGGGGTACACATGCACTTGTACAGATATACAAACCTGCATGCACACACATCTGCGCGCACACACACACAAAAAACGATAAATCATAAAAAAAAAAAAAATGCCATGTATACCCACCCTGAGGTTCCAGGCTGGGATGAAGATAGATCCGGGAGGATGGACGAACTGGGGTCGGTCTGGCTGGAGGAAAGGGAAGACCAGGTAGAGCTAGACAAAAGCAGCCATTCTTCCCCGCGGGTCGACATCTGGCGTGAGAGTTCCAGAGCCCAATCAAAGTCAGGGTCCTGTAAGAGTGAAGGACCTGGTGTTCATTCTTTCTCTCAAATTTGCTCATTGTATTTTTTCCTTATTTTGTGTCATTTTCTCTCAACCACATTCCTCTGCAAGTTCTGCCTTTTTTCCAGAGGTAATTTGTTGTATTCACTATAGACAGACATAAAGATTGTACATTTATACTATTCTGTTTCTCTCTCATATACTTCGACGACCGTCCCCATAGTAACTACCTGACCGTCACATTTATCATCCTCTTATACTCACAGTCTCTCTCCTAATATTAAGAACCTAATCTACTCTATATACTTTAATGTATACTGTTAATACCTTTACATCTACAGTTTGTAGAGGTTCAGGGACTGCATGCATCAAATCTTAGGTTCCACAGAATTAGCCCAGTCCCACCAAATTTAGATGCAACTTTTACTAATGTCACCATTGTCTTAAGAATTTTCCTGTCTTTGCGTATCACACAGTGTGTGTGAACCAAAACGTAGCTTCTCAAAAATGAAATTAGTGAAGCATTAAGAGTGTGTTACAATGAACCAAGACAAACTGATCTGCCTCGCCATTATTTCCCTAGAAAGCGATATCGCACACATGATTGACTTTCATGATGTGATTTCTCAGTTTGCTGCTATGAAAGCTCGAAAGGACAACTTTTAACTAAATATTTCCGTATCACATTACATGAACATAATAGTTTATTCTTCAAATAGTATATTTAATTTCAAGTTAATATTAGTAAATAATGATTCGCTGTAGTACGGGTATGTCATTTATAAGAAGAAAAAAATAGTTACAAATATCGTGTATGAATAATGATGATCTTACATTTCATTATTTTATGTTATCAAGTATTTCAGTCAACATGTGGTCGTTATTTGAACCTTAACGTTTCTTTCTTTCTTTTTTCAAGTAAAAAAAAGTTGGGGGGGGGGGGATGATACGGTGTCCGGAGTCCTTGGTTATCTGAACATGGCCCTGCTGCTGCCCTTACTTGTTGCATCACCTGTACTCCGTCCACTCCAGGGGCTTTGAATTCTTTTAATCTGACTACTTTCCTTTTCATTACTTCTTCTGTAATTGCGATCTCTCTTAATTCATTTTCCACCCCTGAGGTATACATTAGTTTAGGTACTGTGTGAATACTGATGCAAAGTATTAATTTCAGGTATTAGTGTTTGTCATCCTCCAGGGCCACCTTGTTTTCATCCTTTAGAGAGTTGACAGTATCCTTGGTTTTCATTTTACTCCTGGCATCTGCATAAAAGGACTTAAGATCTTTCTTAATATATTGGGCTAGTTTTATCTCGAAATGTCGTTTGGCTGATCTAATTTCTCGATTGGCTACATTAACGCTCCTTTGTATACTATACATAATCTACATGATGCCCTGAGCTCTACTATTTCTTCCACAACTCGTATTTTCTTTTGCAGGCATTTCTAAATCTGTGATTCATCCACCTGGCTTTGCTCCCCCTTCACTCCGTTTTCCGTTGTAGACATTTCTCTAATGTTGTCTCAAGAATTTCCATGAAATCTTGCATTGAGTCTTCTGTATCTGACTCCTCAATAATTTCCTCCCAGTTAAATTTCTGTAGATTATCCTTATGCAGCTAGTAATCTCCATAGTTGAAGTTATAATATTCATCCTCAACTAATTTCTCTCGATTATCAAAGATCGTATTTCATCTTAGTATGTAGTGGTCGCTGGTAGAAGTTAGTTTCTCCTCGATGTGGATCTCATCCAACATAGCTTCCTCAGGTGTCAAGACTAAATCTATGGAATGTTGTCGTCTCTCGTGGGTTCCGACATGTGTTGTGTGAGGAATGAATCTTGATTGAGATCTAGGAATTCTTCTCTCTTGGATTGTGTGGCAAGATTCACCCAGTATATATTCTCGTGATTGAAATCTCCCACGGTAAGGGCTTGTGCTCTGGATGCTGTCTGGATGACTATGAAGATCTCCTACTTTCTCCTCCAAGACCGAGTTATCCCTATAGTACACACATACTGTCATCTTGCTCTGTTTTAAGCTATCAAATCACACCAAATAGACTCGAATGATCCCATTTTGTTTAGCTCTTCATTAATGGTTACTGCCAGGTGCTTCTTGACATTCAGTAGTACACCACCACCTCTTGTGGCCTGTCTTTTCTAAATGGTGGGTGATACCCTAGTAAGTAAAATTCATCCTGAAACATTTCTCGACCTCAGGACTCGCCAATTCCAATAATGTTTGGCTCAAAGTCTAATTACACCAAGTCAACCCACGCGCAGGAGGGGGAGCTAATTATATGACGTCATTGGCCGTAGTCGAAGAAAACGGTAGTAAGGGAGGACTCGTATATTATCCAGGGTGAGACCACCCCACTGTATTAGAAGATATTCTTTCCATATCCCTTTTCTCATCCCCTAGCGCACTATATTTTTGCTAGCCAGTTGTACTTCTCATGTAATCATTATTTTTATGATATTCCTATTCTTATTCTTAAAATTTATAATAATTATTATTATTAATCCTTTTTTCCTCTCATTATTATTTATACTCCTATGATTTTGCTGCCAATATCAATGTAAAACCAATTAAGTAATCATAGAAATATGGAGCTAGCTACTTACTGAGAGAAGGAATACAAGAGTTAAATAAAACAGTTCAGGAAAATAATAAAAATTGTTAATGATTATAATTGCCACCATTCTCTCCCTCCCCAAGCTATTCCAGGAAATCAGTGATATTTAGTGTATGTATGTAAAGGTTTTCAATATATTGAAGATGAGAAGGCTATACAACAGCTTCAAGCATCAAATAGGTACTTTTCTCTCCTCATCCGGTTTCCTGACCGAAAGTTAGACTTTAGGGAATTTAAATTTAAACCTGCCATTGGCTCTCAAGTACTGCCCTTCCTCCTGCTGCACCCTATATATTTGCTGCATGCACAATAAAATCCATTATTTTTCTGTTTTTCATCCTTTGGAAATCGATGAAATATCATAGAAACTTTTATCATGTAGTCACGTAGCGGCAAAGGGCGAATTTTCGACTCGAAGTGGGTTGACTTTATTTAATTAGACTTTGGTCTGGTTATTCTGTGTTCCCATATGTGCTCACACCATCAATCTTATTAACTAGACCTTTGACATATGTGTATCAGCACTTGATTGACCCGGTTCCTATTATTGTCACTTTGAAGACTGAGTCTAGAGGGTTAGTAGAATCACTCTCATGTTGCTTGGGAATGTCTTCTCTTTGGGTTAGGAACTTAAAGCTACAGCATGCACTATGTTAATATTATTTACAACTGGTTCAATTCTCTCCCCTATTAGTGGGAGGGCTGGTATATATATATTACTTCGACTTCATCATTCTGTACTCTGACTATTTGTTCTCGTCTGATCTTTTTGGGCTCTAGTTGTTCCATTGTGTAAACTGGATGGCACCTCAGTCAGTATCTAGCTTGTCCAGTGGTCCTCCTTAATAAAGTTCACTATTTGTTTTACTGTTTTTTCTCCCTTTCTCGTTTTCAGTTTTTATCGATAGTTGCCTTTAATATTTCCTCACTGCTCTTTTGATCTTGCTGTGGAGGGTGGATCACATACTTAGTCACAGTTTTTCATGTAGATTTGGCAATCACATGTTCCAACGGAACGAAGAAACATCATTAACAGAGACCAAATATGAAACAGATCCGAGTATGCACGTTGTAAATGTAATTTAGTCAAATAAGCTATTATAGGTCTTATAAGGAGGTTCACATACCAAGACGGTCAGTCCCTCATAACGCTGTTCAAATGTGAGGTGGCTCCTCCTTTGGAGTACTGTCACCCCATCTGGTCCCCGAGATATGCTAGACTGTCAGTTAATAGAAAATATCCAAAGGAGGGCCACCAGACTAGTGCCTGCATTACAGCACCGCAGTTACCCAGAGAGATTAGAACGCCTACAGCTGTCTAGTTTAAACTATAGGCGGGCAAGGGGTGACTTAAAGACGTCTATAAACACTTCAGAGGACATTACTTAATCGAGTGTTCATACCTGGAGCTGGCGGCTGCCCATCCCATTAAGGATTACAGCTTTAGGCTGAAGCCTCAAAGTTCAGAAAATTGTCAGGGGAAACTTTTTTGGAGTGAGATTTGTGAACTCTAGGAACAATATGCCGGGGAGTGTTGTGAAGGCACTGATGGGACACATTCATTATACCAGAGCGACCTTGATAGTTTTGTGAATTTAATGCCCATTTGCTGTTACTCCATAAGCACAACTTCTGAGTTCCACACGCTTTTTAATCGAGATCCGTCAGACACACGACACGAACACATTACTGTACACTTCATTCTATAACGGGGCGTATTACTACAGTGATATGACGAAGGAAGATGTACGCGTAGAGTGACTTAGCTACTGACGTCTGAAGTGGTCATGAAGTCCGAGTTGGTGATGGTGTAGGCGGCCGTCTTGTTGTTGCTGTCCGGGTTGTATCCCACCACTCTCTGAGGGCATCATGTACACATATCTCATCACCATGTAAGTATGCATGCATTTATTTATGCACATAATTATATATTATATGCTTCTGTATTTAAATATGTAAATAGCATTAAAAGATATTCTGGTCTGAGGGTACCAATGCAAATATAATATTGTATTTCTTGATATTCATGACAACAAGGTTGAAGGTGTTGACGGTATACTTACCGTCTCGGTGTCTTCCTCAGAGTCACCTGACTTCCGGCAGAAACACTTTTTCAGCGTCTTCCTTCTGTAGTGGGGAAGGGCGTCACTGATGGTGTATTCTATGGTAGGATGCTATGGTGTGTGTGTGTGTGTGTGTGTGTGTGTGTGTGTGTGTGTGTGTAAAACATGTTAGAGTGTTATGAGGTGTTCTATGTACCGTGTAGAGTAACATGGGGTACATTCTTAAAGTTCATTTAGTACGAGTATATCCTATAGAGAGACTAATAAAGGAACAGTGTATCATAGAATAAAAGCTAAAAGGATACGTTCTATGGCAGCTATGGCAGGGCTCACTACGGCATGCATTGTACCCTAAAGTAGTAAAGTCATATGCCACATCGAAAGCTAGAAAGTCACATGCCCTAAGCTAAGGGTCCCCATATCTTATCTTGTCAAAATATACAAATGCAGAAGAATTTGAGATGGTGTAAGGGAAATGGCAGCTGGCAATTCCTACACATGACACTAAACTGCAAATCCCGCGTCAATCTGTGAGGTAGAGGGGGGGGGGGAGAGGTGACAACAGTGTTGATAAGAATAGATCATATCATGAGGCTGTCTGTGATGTACCTTCGCCCAGCTGATAGAGACATATGCTGAAACACCTAAACCTGGTTTGGTTGAAGACAAGTCCTGCTCATTAAAGAGGTATAATTATAAGCATCATTCTGGAACTTGCATGGAATTCTCCGAACATAGAAATATTTAGTAATTTATAAGAAGAAAATATTCTTTGTTGTTTATGTTTTAGATACTTCTTTTATGCTGATCATCGTATTGTGTCAGCATCATTTCTTATGTAGGATTTCTTCGTAAATTTGTTGTTATACTGAATTACTGCGCTTCAACAACTTCAAGTCTTTGAAATCATATTCTAAGTCGGTACGTACAATAATCATGTTATATATATATATATATATATATATATATATATATATATATATATATATATATATATATATATATATATATATATATATATATACTTTATATATATCAACATTTATTAGGCTAGTTAAACTATTGTAAAATTTTTACTAATCGGCCAAAGTAAATGCATGCACAACATTAAGTATAAGAGGTAGAAAGAAAAAGAATGCGAATAGAAGAAACAGACGCAGAAGAAGAGCTATATTATATAAAGAGACCATTTCCCTCCCCCAAATAATTATGATTCATATCTCACGTCAATAATGTGTTACATAATATAAGTGGGTGGGACATATCGATAATGTCCCATCCACGTATATTACCTAACACACTTAAATTGATACCTTCCACTCACTTACATTACCTAACACACTTAAATTGATACCTTCCACTCACTTACATTACCTAACACACTTAAATTGATGGGTCTATTATCTACAAGACCTAAACCCTTTATATTAACGAGTCTTAACGAGGTGAATCATGGACATGTTAAATGAGAGAGAGAGAGAGAGAGAGAGAGAGAGAGAGAGAGAGAGAGAGAGACTGAACACATGATCCACTTAGTGATGAATGACGACTGTGGTGATGAGTGAGGAGGGGAATACTCACGAGTGGATGAGTTTCTGGATGATGAGTAAGATGGCCAGGATGATGATGAGGACTAGGCTGCTGACGGAGGTGGGTACGGGGCTGTACATCACGCTGAGGAGAGGGTGAGAGAAAGAATGAGAATGAAAAGAATGGAAGAAAGAGAAAGATTATTAAGTATTACAAATATACAGATTTCTGAATTCAACATATGATATTAAAACAAAAATCCGACAAATAAAACATGTACTGTATTTGATAAACTGTTAAAATATGTCGAAATATTTATTCATAAGGACTTTGTAAATATTGTGAATAAACATTTTCAAGTCTAAGGTGTAATTCAACGCCAGTTATCTAGTGCATATGAAATTTTATCCGTGATTAGAGAAGAATAATCTTAAATGGCTAATTAGCGGAGTACCTAAGCGTCAATTTTTGAGGAATCTTGCAAATGGTGATATAGTACAAGCATGAAAATTGGCATGAAGATTCAATATGGGTTAATTATTAAATCTATCTGATTGGATATTCAAAATTCCAAGATGGCAGCCATTTTTCAAGATGGCCGACAAATGTGGATGTGAGATTTTCCTTTTTGGCATAAAAAAAAATTGTGTTCATCAATTCAAGTGATTTCAGTGTTGATTTCCATGTTTTTCAGTATGTATAATCTGAATTATGTGTTGAAAACTATTAAAGCATATATATTCTCCTTATCAAAATTTAATGGATTGAGAAACATCATCGCTGTTAAGGTACACAAATACGATGTACACAGTGGAGATACAAGTACACAGGTTACACAACACAGAACTCACAACACCCGCCGTGTGTAACATATAACCACCATTACACACAGTCACTGTACATAAGTATGACGTCATAATATAAACATAACATTATAGAATTCTACATCGTATCCTGAGAAGTAAACACTGCATCATGAGGGCCACCTAAACATTAGACGCCCGAGCTTATTTCACCTGATGATTAAACATCCTACTGCTAACCTAACCTAACCAAACCTAACCTAACCTAACCTAACCTAACCTAACCTAACCTAACCTAACCTAACCTAACCTAACCTAACCTAATATAATTTTCTTAAACTAATCTATATTACTGACTTAATCTTACCCCACCAGATAATGTTAGGGTGTTTCATCAGGTGATCCCATGAGGCAAGTAAGAGGTGTTCCCTGTATTATGCTGCCATCATAATAAATTGCCTCACCTGTGTTTTTATACCTTAACCTGTACTGTTATGTATAAACACGGTAAGACAACAACAGCACAAGAGTTTTTACAGTGACCCAAACTTGGCAAACTACACCACATTGCCAGGGATTACACCTAAAGACTCGGCACAGTAGCTTCTTATTATCCGTTTATCCTCCTGAACCACAACAGCCTATGAGTCTGTAATACCTTTAAACACATAACACTGTTCTATATCACAATGTCTTTTCTATTACTACTACAGGATGGGCAGCTGCCAAATGTTTCCTGTTAACCCTTTAGCTGCGGGAGGTTACCCTAAGCTAAATAAAAGCGTCTGGCGGTAGCTAGAATATTATGGCAAGTGCGGAAAATGCAAAGCTACTCACCATAACTCCTTGTACACGTAGCCACTCTCACACCTGCAGAACTTATTGGAACATTGCCAGCGGCTCATGCAGTCCTCTGTGGAATTGCATTCTGACCCCAACGTGCCTGTGGGAGAGGTCAAATCTGGTCAGATCACAGCTTAGGACTGTTTCCACCTACACCAGTATTGTTACCCCTCATGACTTTCTTTTTGATGCCTTCTTTATACACACACACACTCACGCACATACACACGCACACACACACACACACACACACACACACACACACACACACACACACACACACACATACGCACATACACACGCACATACGCACATACACACACACACACTTGGCGTCTGAGACTTTTTGTGACGACGACTGTGTTGAACAATACAATGAATTACAGAAACCTTGGCCAATACTGATGAAGGCCGAGTAGCGAGAACACAAGAGGAGATAATGAGGGAGAAAGGGAGACGTACCACAATCGCCACAGTAGTAGTATAAGTTGTTGCTGTCTGTCAGGTAGGTGTAGACGACGCAGGTGTCATTTGGACAGCGACACTTGTACGATATACACTCTGGCTGGGGCGACGTCCACTCTTTGACATCACAGTCACCGTTTGTCATACACGGCACATCTGGCACTGTCTGGCCTGTGGGAGGAGGGAGATGACGGGTGTGCACTGCCTGTCATGTGAGGGGAGGGAGACAGGAGTTGGTACCAGAGGGAAAGGAAGGGGAGACAGAGAGGTGGGTCTTGTCTCGTGAGAGGAAAAGGGAGTAGAAGAAAGGGAAGGATATGAAGATGACGAGGAAGGAAGAAAAGGTAGAGGGGTCAAAAAGGGAGATGGAAGGATCGAAGATATAGATAGATGGAGGGTGGATGAGTATAGAGGGAGGAGAGAGGGAGAAGAATGTAGCAAAGGAAGAAGGTAGCCTTTTGTGTGTGTGTGTGTGTGTGTGTGTGTGTGTGTGTGTGTGTGTGTGTGTGTGTGTGTGTGTCTGTGTGTGTGTCTGTGTGTGTGTCTGTGTGTGTGTCTGTGTGTGTGTCTGTGTGTGTGTGTGTCTGTGTGTGTGTGTGTGTGTGTGTGTGTGTGTGTGTGTCTGTGTGTGTGTGTGTGTGTGTGTGTGTGTGTGTGTGTGTCTGTGTGTGTGTGTGTGTCTGTGTGTGTGTGTGTGTGTCGCTAAATTACGATAAATGTTCGGTAAAGCCTTAAACAAATCTCCCGTTTTGACTAAATAAGGATGTGTTTTTGTTTTAACTTGATGGAAGTTCATTTCATATATAACCAAACTAAGCCTAAATTAGATCAGGTAAAGTTATAGTTATTTAGTTTAGGAATGGTTAGTTTAGTAATAGTAGTGTGTATTTATAATTTGTGTTATAATTGCCTCCATGATTTCCGCTATAAACAGACCAGCTTGGATATCAAAAAACAAAGAAATATATAGATATTATCACTATTTCATAATCATCCCTATTTTACGTGACATATTTATCACACTAATTAAAGACAATCATCCAATTAAGCCGTAACGATGTTATTACCCTGTATTATCATAAAATAACCAAGCTGTAACTAAATTAGGTTAGGTTAGGTTAGGTTAGGTTAGGTTAACAATGATGCTCCCAAACGCTCACCTCTGACACACCCACCAGCCGTCATCACCAGTAGGAGTACACACACCACGTCCCTGCATGATGCCCTTCTTGATGATCTCAGGAGCCTCATATTCATACCCTGGATCTCTTGAGGGGTGGTAGTTCAGGTGTGGTAGTTCAGGTGTGGTAGTTCAGGTGTGGTAGTTCAGGTGTGGTATATAAGTCAGGGTGGAGATTAGCGATGAATTAGTGTTAGGTAATTCGTTTTCAAGAGCTCACTGGCGACCGGTCATAGGTAGCCAGCTTCAGGGGGTCGCTGGTGATATGGTTGCAGCTAACGTGCAATAGGTAAGAATAGTCTTCTAGTTCTAAGAGGTCATTGACGATAGGTAAGTACGTGAAGCTTGGTGTCAGGTAAATTGTAACTGATTAATGTGGGCAGTCTAGCGCCAGAAGGACAAAATTAACACTCTGAAAAATCTTATGATGTCACCTTTGACAGGTTACAGGAGGGTGATCATAGGTGACTAACGATGGATTTGGCTTCAGGTCACTGCTATTAGGTCAAAGTTTGAAAGAGACTCTAAGATAAATATCAAATGTAGGCGTCGGTTCATACTAACACCAACGTTTCATGACCACCACCACTACTGTCAGCTGGCAACGGTATGTTAATATACTCCTTTTCCCGCGTGTGAGACAGTGCAGGCAACCAACACTCATAGTGACCACACCAGCCTCGAGGTAATCACACAAATCTCGAATATTTTCAAGGACTTCACATTTTTTCAGGGAGTTTCAACACACCCAAAGGATCACTCAATTTAACGTTCTTCAGTTAATTAATCACACGTTTTACAGTAGCATCGACCATGGTATCAGTGCAAAGCTTGTCTGAAGATAATTAGAAGTACTATCAGCATAAACCACTCCGAGTATAGTTCCGTATACACCTCAAGCTTCTGTCACGGCCATTACTGCCAGGTGGGTGAGTAAGACTATACCTGCCTCACACAGTGTTGCCAAACCTGTCGTCGACTCATGAGTGTTGCAATAGGTTAATACAGTACGTGGTAAACACATCCCTCTTGTGACCTGTTTTAACCATGATTACTTTTTCATCCAACTGTTATTAAGTTATCAATATTATGAATGGATTTCTGGGACATTTTAAACAGGTCGTAAGAATATGTTATAGATGTTTTGTTTATGGTAATTCTACTTTGAGGTGGTGATATGGGCAGACTGTTTGTGGTGGTCGTTATCACAGTGTTATCTGATATAGCGAGGAGGGAGGGAGGGGGAACCTTGCCTCACTCTTGTTAAAATGGAACAGAAGTAGTCGATAAATTAATTATGTTCTTTTTCCTTCCCTCAAACTTCCTGTCTTTCTACCCTTCCCTCTCTATGTCTGTCTATGGCTCTGTTTTCTGTTCATTTTCGTCTATAGTACTTCTGTCTGTCTGTCTGTCTGTCTCGCTGTGTCGCGGTACGTAATACACACTATTGCGTACCGTGACAGAGAGAGAGAGAGAGAGAGAGAGAGAGAGAGAGAGAGTCTAAAATCCTCAGCTAGCGGTTCTTGCAAGTGACTCCATCTTTGTGTATATGTATGTCTGTATGTCTGTGAGTATAGACGTCTGTGAGTATGGATGTCTGTGCGTATGGATGTCTGTGCGTATGGATGTCTGTGCGTGAGTATGGATGTCTGTGCGTATGGATGTCTGTGCGTATGGATGTCTGTGCGTATGGATGTCTGTGCGTATGGATGTCTGTGCGTATGGACGTCTGTGCGTATGGACGTCTGTGCGTATGGACGTCTGTGCGTATGGATGTCTGTGCGTATGTATGTCTAAATTTATATATATATCTGTATTTTTGTTCATAGTTCTACGACCATATCATTATATAGGTGGTAACTATGGAACTTTCTACCTATACATGGTTGATTGTCTTATGATATATCGATATCTTACTTCCTATGAGAGATTAGAGAAATATATATATATACCCTTAACATATAGACCTTGGTTTAAGATACTCCTAAAGTGTTAAATATGGTGTAAAAACCTAACGATGACAAGAGAGAGAAGTGAATGCCTGTAACGGCTCTCATTAAAGAACGAATTTATATCTTCGCCATCAGAGACCACGTAATGTATGAGATGGATAATGTATCAAAGTACACTGTGAAATGACCTAAAACATAACCCATTAATACAGGTTTCCAGGAGATATTTAACCTGTTTCAACTATTGGTGTTATTGACAACATGCTATCAGGCGATGTTATCCAGATCATTGATAAACAGTGGTTCACCATGACCACCAGCTACGTGGAGGTTTTTACTCTGTATACATGGTGAATTGTCCTCAACCTTCCCTCACCATTAATCATCTTATACCAATCTTTCCCGCTTTAATTAATTGATCTCGAGTCTAGTTCTGAAATATATACCGGGAAAGAGAGACCAATACTCTCTCTCTCTCTCTATCGACATCAAGTGATAAAAAAAAAATATCCCGGTACTAATGACGCACACAGACCACAGGCATATTATTAAGCTTTCATCATTATCATCCACGAGTTACATACCGCGGCTCTCCCCCTTTCCCTGACTCCTCCCCTTCCCGCTTATCGTCCCCGTCACACACGCCCCCCCTTCCCACCCCTTACCCCGCACCCCCCATCAATCCACTAGCGACTCCTCCAATAGTCGCCTCACCTGTATAAGGGTCTGCCACGCTTTCAACTCCCGCTGGCAGCTTCTGCTAGAACAAACAGTATATCCTCCACCGGTGTCTAGGATTACAGAGTGCAAGTGTTAATTATATCTGGAAAAAGAATCCGTTAAACTATCAAGAGTATAGCGAAAAATTTTGAAAACCCAGAAATAAAAATACTTTATAATGTGAGGTGAAGGAAGTTGCTTCATAACTGTTATCAATGCAGTATAGGGCTTGCCACCGAAGTGATATTTGTTGAAACTGACTACAGTTGTGGTGGATATTGTGCACTATTCACGAGACTATGGTCCGTCTCTGGTGACCAATGGTACAGGGATAACAAATCCAACTCCTAGAATGCCTGTACCAAACAAAAAGCCTCTGAGAAAGGGATAAGTGACGTAAATCAGAAATGCTTACAGCCCATCAATGGCGGGTGATGATGGTGGCAGGCTGTACCCTGGTGGCCGGGGCGTGCGGGAACCCCTCCAGGAAGGCGAGGACGACCCAGCCTGTAGTGCAGGAGCTGGTAACCCCAGCCACCACCTACACCAGCGTCGTCTCCGTGTACCTCTGGCCACGGAAAACACCACTAATGTATACAGAATACAAGAGGAACACGAACGATGAAGAATCAGATAACCTGAAGATTGAAGGTATTGTTAATTTCTATTTTTGTTTATAACTCGTCTGTTATAACTGAACAAAAATTTTCCAGTGTTACTCTTGTTGGCAATGTTTGCTTCTTTATACAGTTTCCTGAAATTATTGAAATTCTTAACTTGTTTTTTTTAGACACATAGTTAATGGTATGTTCTAACTTTTCATTGCTGGTGAAAGAAATAAAATTGTACGGTAAGCATAGGCAACTGTGTGTAGGTATGTTTGGGTACATGGAAAAAATCTGATGCGAAATCGGCATAAAAACTGTGATTGAATGCGTGATCCACCATTCATAGGAAGATCAGAAGTGTGGTAAGGAAACATACGTCAGCATATAATAATACCAGCAGCTGTCGAGGAAAACTGAAAACAAAATACTGAAAAAATAATAAAATTTCTTCGGAGCAACACTGGATGAGCGAGGCACCGTGTAAGGTGCCATCCAGGTCACACACGCGGACACCGAAGATAAGTTTTAAGTATTTAAATATTATATAGTCACTAAGGCAGAAACACCTGTAAGATCGTAATACTGTACACAGAGAAATTACATCTAGGAAGGAGTTGTGACTATTAGTTATGTAATCCCAGTAGTAAAGAGATTTCTTCGCGCATATTGTAAAACATTGAACATCACAAAAATTGGTATTATCACTTACACATATCCCAGGGACACAGTGCCCCCTGGCGGGTAATAGTTGAACTGAAAAATAGATAAATTGATGAATAAATACATAAATAAATAAATATAGAAATAAGAACAATATGTGGAGTTCAGCTTTCATCACGATCGAGGAAATGGGGAAAAGCACTAACTAAAGTCACTGACATCATTTTGACATCACAGAGACGCTGCTAATTCGAATATTTTGAAGTTCTTTGTCACCAAGACAATATTTAGAGTAAAATAATATCGCATTGTGAATTGTGCTTAAGGCAAGGAAGTTCCTATAGATGGTAGAATCTTGACTCAGAGAAACCAGTTATTAACCTTAAATCTTCACAGTTGACATAAACGTCCCCGACACATTGCCCCCAGCACGCACCCCCTCGAGCTAGTCACTGGTTCCCGCTGGTGACAGCTGACAGGCTATCTCTCACAGGTAAAATTACGCGCAGCGCTAAAACACAGGAGACGTGTTATGCAATGGTGTAGTGGTTCAGAGTTTGCGACCTCAGCGGCACCGCGGGGTTTGCTGTCATGCAACTACTGTGAGGAGCAATTATGCAAAAATTGTTCGGTTGAGGACGGTAAAGGCTATAGGTTGATCTGTCAAACTCGACGAAGTCTCGAGCTTGTAACTACCATTAGCCTGAATGAAAAAAAATGAAGAGGCTATTGCAGATCTTAAAAGGAAAGATAAATTTAAAATAAAAAACAGAGGAAAATTTGATCCTTTGAAACAAAGATTTTTAATAAGGCTGAAGAAGCACTTAATAGAATAGAGGAATCAGTCAAGAAAAGTTATGACAGGGACACAGAAGGTGGTTGAGAGGGATGCATGATCAGAACAGGTCATACAGCAGCTGGGGGCTCTGCAAAAGTGGTCAAAAGTAACGGAAAATACCTATATGGGAGAGAAGGAATGCCAGGATTGTCTCGAGCGCAGGAACAATATATTCTTGTATAGAATACCTGAGACCTGAGAGTCAGCCAGACGAAACTGATAAAAGGAAAACACATGACAAGATGAAATTTTGGAATAATTGTACCGAGGCCCTGAATTTGTCAGCTGGGCCTAACGAAGTGAGTAGGTTAGGGAAAAAGCAGGAGAATAAGCCAAGCCCCCTTAGTATCACAGTAGAAAATGATGTAAGAAGTGGGTTATTATTAGACAGGTGTATGTGTGTGGGTGTGTGTGTGTGTGTGTGTATGTATACGTATGTGTGTTTGCTCGTGTATGTATGTACTGTATATATTTGGGTGTGTACATATACTTACATAATTTGAAGAAAATATTTAGATTTACTGAAGAGAGAGAGAGAGAGAGAGAGAGAGAGAGAGAGAAACCCACATATTCACCATTATATCTCTTCCTTTCCTTCCCCTCAGGTGTTAAGGTGCCAACCCTGAATTGTGAAAGTGATCAGGTGTGCTGGGAGAAGTACTCAGACCCGATGTTAATATGTGTTAAGGGATTATGTCAGTGTTCCCCTCCATCCTGTTGGGTCTACCATTACGAGATAACTACCACCTTCACCGCCAGAGATGTCTTCAACTGCGGCACCTGCGGTAAGTCAATTATAGCACCTGTGGTTAGTTAATTATAGCACCTGTGGTTAGTTAATTATAGCACCTGTGGTTAGTTAATTATAGCACCTGTGGTTAGTTAATTATAGCACCTGCGGTAAGTCAATTATAGCACATGTGGTTACTTAATTATAGCATTTGTGGTTAGTTAACTATAGCATTTGTGGTTAGTTGATTATAGCACCTGTGGCTAGTTAATTATAGCACCTGTGGTTAGTTAATTATAGCATTTGTGATTAGTCAATTATAGCATTTGTGGTTAGTTAATTATAGCACCTGTGGTTATTCAATTATAGCACCTGTGGTGAGTCAATTATAGCACCCGCGGTAAGTCAATTATAGCACCCGCGGTAAGTCAATTATAGCACCTGTGGTTAGTCTATTATAGCACCCGTGGTTAGTCAATTATAGCACCTGTTATTAATCAGTTACACCACCTGCAATAAGGTTACAGCACGTCAGAACTTAACTAATGATATTGGTCGTGACTCGGCAGGTGTACTCGGCTCGTACTGTGACTCAACCATTACATGTGACTGGCCTGGCGAGTGCTGGGACGATAACTTCTGTCACTGTCCAAGAGGCGAGAACGATAACAACATTTGGTAAGTTCGAAATTTTCTTACTGCTAGTTTGCCATTTATAACACCATCCTGCATTCGAAGTTTGTATTTATTTTTCTTCACAAATTCTCCTTTTAATCAAATTTTAATAATTGTTTTCGCATATCTTGAAATATTATGTTTAAAATCATAAGGAAAATGTAAAAACAATCAGTTCCATTGTAGATCCCCCGCCCCCAAAAATTCCGTACCATAAGCCTGTATTATGGTAATATCACACAATGCAATAAGTTGGAGTATTATTGGAACCATAAGTTGATATTAGTAATACTATTATTCATGAAAAGATTGATACCATTACTCATAATTATCTACCATGAGCACCATAACTATTAACCATCATTAAACTGTCTTAATTTTGGTACCATCACCCACCTTGACCACCATGATTTCCATAAAGTATCCTCACCTTGACACCAACACCCACCATAACTACCATTAAGTCATAACACTGGCAACTACCATTAAACCACCATAACCTTGATACCATTACTCACCATAACTACCATAATCTTAGCACCATAACCTCTCTTCCCCCCTCCAGCATCACAACAGACTCCAACTGGCCGTACAAGACAGCTATTGGCATCATCTCTCTCATTATCATCATTACTCTTATTATGATCATACACAGCTGCTGCATCACGTAAGTAAGTCTGTCTGTCTGTCTGTCTGGTAATTTCTCTCTCTCTCTCTCTCTTTCTCTCTCTCTCTCTCTGTTGTTTTCCACTAATATCTCAATAATTTTCTCCTTTCTCTCTTCCTCTGACCTCTAAGGCATTTTAGTTTTGTGGTTGGTCTTATAACACGGATAAATAAAATCATACTAAAATCATTTGTAAATTAAGAATAAAAAAAGGAGTTGTGGTAGTAATAATAATAATGATAGTTCCAGTAATGTAGCTACAATAGTTGTAAGTATTCATTTCCAATAGTTCTATAAAATGTACAGTTGCTGAGAAAATTCTCTAAACATAAGACAATATCTGGCATTTACTTCTAGGCTATATTTATAATTGGTTTATATATAATAACGCTGTTTTATATTGAAACAACAAAATGAAAAGACAAAACTAAATATGAAGAAATTCTGGAAAAAATGCTAAAATTCTAATCCTCCTCACCTACTGCCAAGTGACCAGGGAATAGAGAATTTTGTCGGCAACTGTACATCTCTATGTCTCGTGTTTACAGAGAACTTATAAGTTATCTGAAAACACGAGAGGAATAATGTATTTGTGTCTTCAATAGTCCACCATGGAGGCAGCAGGAGCGTTGGTGCTGTGGCCTGTGTCCAGGAGCGAGTGGCTTTGGGGTGAGTAACACGGAGAGAGAGTGAGTTACGATGGACAGTAGTTGGTGTGAGTGTATGTCACTTATTAGTCTAGCCTCGACTTTCACTAACCAGGAAGCTTCTTCACACATGGACTCTGAAGCCGCTACACAAGTCCTTCATAAATAAAACAATGGTTCAAAGTGACGAAACCCTCATGAAATTATAATATGTGGAGGTTGATTCGTGCATTGTTTTGGTATTTCAATTTTAATTTTTATGTTAGTGTTTCTCTTACGACTTTACCTTCGAGAAATGTCATTATCTTCGTGGGGGGACCCCTGAAATAGAGACGTTTGGTGGAGCTACACTGTCAACTGTAGTGACCAGGGCGGCCATACTACACACTTACTCATCTCAAGGTGACCACACACGGGATATTAGAGTTATTCAGTTCTTCAAGTTGTTCTAGTTCTCTCTCATTCTTCTTCTGTTCTGTTTCTTTCGTTTTTTTATCCCTATAATGCATTCTGTGGCCACGAGAAAAATGTGACGCTAGCAAACTTAAATACCTGAAAAAACATCATTGAACATTATACAAAATATGAGATATAAACAAAATCTTACTCGGTAGTTTGGTCAACAAGGCCTGGTGAAGTGGTGGCCGTCGGTCACAGTGTAGCGGAGGTGAGGTAGTACGGCTTCTTCTCCTCCTTCTCTTTACTTATTGAGTTCATATTACAGTTATGTATCTACTTATTTTTATTGCCATGCGAAATTATGACAAGGAATTTTTCCACCGATCAGCGCCATTGTTACAAGACTACTGCGGATTTACTAATAAGTTTGCTCTTTGAGGTAACTGTACTTGTTTATGCTGTGTATTGAGAGACAGTACAGGAAAATAAAAAACAGCTTATTACTGTTTCAGCAATCCTCTGGAAATCTGGAGCTGCCAGACTCATAAAAAAAAAAGATGCGTTATAAACTTTCTAAGGAATGAAAGATCTTGTTGATTTCTCAGTACTCTGAGGGTTCCAAATACTTCTTTGACTTCCTATAAAATTGGAAAGCTTCATGGATTTTTTAATTAAAAATTTTACAGATATCCTGGAAATTTGGTGGTGTCATGGGCGTCTTGAAACTGAGAACTCTTGGGAAAAGATGGAGGTGTACAAGGACCAGATAAGCTGTCTTTAATGCGAAGATTTCAAGGAGACATTAAGGAGGGGGGGGGGGATCAGTGGAACAAAAAACCTTAAAGAAAATCTATGTACACATTAGCAGAGGAACTTTTGAATAGAGGAGCAGAAAAAGTACTTTCCTAAATTTACTACGACAGAAGGGCATTAGAAGAGAGGAAAAAAGTACTTTCTTAAGTTTACTACAGCTAATGGGCATTATATAACAAAGACGATTGTTGGAATACATACATACATACATACATACATACATACATACATACATACCTCCTTGCTACCCACAACATTGAGGAAAGGGAAAGTTGACAAGTAAAAATACAGTGATTTATCTAGGGGTTGAAATACATGGATGCAGCAAGTAAGGAGCACAAATTTAAGTTATGAAAGAGACAAGAAGATTATCATGTAAACGAAGTAATTTAATAACATTTATATTAATTATTGATTAAGTAACAACTATGCATCTACTAAAACACACCATAATATTACCCAATTATTCATACTTTGTGCATTAAATACACCTACTATAAACAACAACACAAAAACCTGATAGAAATGGCAGCTCAGGTAGCAAGTCAAGGCTGCGATGACCAACCACAAGGAACCAGGGATTAACGGTGTAGTCCACTACCAACAAACCATCACAACACCACCAGCAGTAGACCACACCCCAGGAGAAGAGGAATACCGTCAGCCGCAGAACAGAAACTCGGCCTACCAGGCAGACACACTTGCGTCGATACCTCTGTCTAGTCAGATGGGAAACTGGTTCTGAATCTGTGCTCACTGGGGTCGAGTTGTTTCGTGAAGCAGTTTCTTCTCCTGGTGTCCAGTTGGAATAAGTGATGGTTATGGTGGTAGAGTGAGGGGGGGACAGAGCCGTCACAATACGTACTACTAGTAGGTTCATAATTATATGTTTAAAAAAAAAGAAATAAAGAAATATATATATATATATATATATATATATATATATATATATATATATATATATATATATATATATATATATATATATATATATATATATATATATTACCTTCTGTGGAGTCACCATTATCATCACAAGTCACCATCATCACAAGTTGTCATTACCACCACAAGTCACCATTATTATCACAAGTCACCATCATCACCATAAATCACCAATAATACTAAAGTCACCATTTCACCAACAGCACCGCCGTAATTCAACTGAGAAGACTCCAGCGTTCACCATCCAGAATCACTATGCAAACTATGTAAGTAAATTTGATAATTCACCAGGTTAAGTAAGTCATCAGGAGGATTATTCAGAGTAGCTGAGTCACCAAACAACAACAATAATGATAATACTACTACTACTACTACTACTACTAATAATAATAATAACTGGTAATAGTTTGCTGTAATTTACACTACTTCATTTGATGACTTAAATTTATGTTGACGTTCTCCAGGACTTCCCATTGTCCTCTACGGTGTCCCAGAACCTAGAGGGAGGCTCTGGTGATGGTATTGTTGGCGCTATGGCGTTACCGAGCCACCTGAGACACCAACGGACCTTGTCCATAAGCAGCTCCAACGGGGAAGCAAACTCGACCATCTCTTCTATATCGACCACCGTGACCAACGTGAGCGATGTCAGCACTGTGGGCGTTGACGAAGCTCGCCTTACTTCTCTTAATGCCGATGCTTGTGTATCGGAATCATCTATGGAGAGAGGTGCAGTTCATCCCGGTGGCGAAAGAATTTTCACAATCAACCTGAACGTTTCTTCGGAGATGGTGAACTTCCAGGCGCCCTCAGAGGCTGGTAGTAGTGAAGCGGGGTCCTCTGTTGGCTCGTCAGTAAGCTGTACTCACGAACGCTGTCAGTTATGCCTACCAAAAGGCCCTATGACTCGACCTTCTACTGTACCCGTCATAGGTACCACTTCAACTGGAGGCGGAACCCTTCCTCAGCACTCACTGCCTCCATACTCCGTCAACGTAAAGAACCAGTTAGAGTCCACTCGTCTTTAAGGCTTAGTGATGTTATTTTTCTTATTCTTTAGTATTTTGAAGAAGAAAAGTTTTATTGGAAATTTCTTTAACTTCTCATACATCTCGGCACCCGTTTTTTGTTATGCCTTGAGGATGGGTCTTGTTGCGCCTTACCATCATCTTGACACACTGGCATGACTTACATATTAATACATAATACTTCAAAAATATTCCACTTCCTCCACTCACACTCCACCAAGGGATACTTTCTGTATTTGTCTCTCCATATTCCTTCTCTCCGTTTGTCCCATCGTCTTTCACTGCCTGTCTATAATTTCCTCGTCACTGTCTTCATCCACTATCTCAACTCCACCCGCTCTTCTCCAGGTTATAATTAAAGGTCTATTGTATTCAGTAGGACATATAGTGGTATCTGTCTTTACGTCGATCATGAAAACGCAACACACTAGGATACAATCAGGTGTTAGAAATAGATAGAAAATTCTCTCATGATAATTTAGTTTCGTGTCTCACCTGTCAGATGTGAGTCAGGTAACTATAATATCATGATACGAGATGGAGTTTATTATGATTATTGCATTATGGTGATGGAGCTATGAGACAAGACTGAACTTGGTCCTAAAGAGAGTCGTAGCTTCTATGCCCTTCTCCCTCCCACGCTGTGATAACCTGGTGTCTCTGCTGTGCTAAGTTGATGTGACTTTTGATGGCCTTATAAGTTGTGAATGCGCTGTTCCAGATGACATGAACACAACCTGAAGGAATATTAGGGTTAATACAATTTCGTGATGTTGAAAGTGAAAGTGAATCCCCAGGCCCTGACGTGGGTCATTGACCTGTGTCCCGGTAGGATAATCCCGTGAGAGAGAAAAAGGCGTCACCGGTTGAATAGTATGGTAGTCTTTGTAGCCAGGATGACCACATTGACAGCTTACCTCTTCAGCCGCGAACCCGCAACAACTGAATATCTGTAACACAACTGTAAATAGATATAAAATGTCTGCTTAATATTCCTTGATTAGGAGGTTAGGTCAGGTTCTGTGATTGTCGTTTCCATGTTCTTGTTTAGTATCATGCAAATAACATATCCATAATTTTAGTGCAATTCTATAAATTCTTCCGTGTGCTGTGCTTAGGGTGATGGTGGAGGAGACGGATTAGTGTCCGAAGGAGTCTATAGAATTGCACCAAAATTTCTGGTGATATTATTGTATGATACTAAACAAGAAAATGGCAGCGACAATCCACAGAACTCAACAGCGCCTGACCTAATCAACTTAACCTCATTTAACTTCCTAACTAGGGGTCTCCGCCTCCCCACCCCGGCATATTAATAGCCACCATGTAAACTGTACAGGATAATTCATCTATGCTACAGTCTAAAACCAACATTACCACAACACTTAAAAAAAAAATGCTGCAGGCTCTTAAATGATTGCAAATTATGTTTACAATTGAAAAGCAAAACTAAAAATAATAAATATATATTTTTTATGTACGCGTGTATAGTATATCTGAATTGACCTAAAACGCAGTATGAATTCTTGGAGCCAGAAAGTGAACATATTAAGTTGTATTTACTATGTTCTGCCTGGTAATTCTAACTCCCTAAAATAGTATATACATAAATATTTTTTTTTTACATTAAGTGAAGGATTGTCTTGTATACACTTTAGGGATTAATATATATGTATTTGTCTATTAATGATATTTTTTGTTACCTGTTTTACCTCAACATTTGGAACAACAACCTTTTACCGCCAAGAGACTTATTTAACTGTGTCTTTTACTTGGTTAACGATATTTGTTTATCCTCTCAAAGTACACATGGTATATAAGTCTATAAATCACGTGTAGTCATTAAAACATTAGCCTACCTGAGCCTTCCAGGTGAACCAATCAGTAAATAAAGCACTCATAAAAAAAAAGGGGTTGTCAATAGTAAGACACTGGATGTTCTACAATTTTGATTAACAACTAACTTGTTCCTGTTCATCACAAGAGAGATAGATTGAGAAAACTGTATGATTACCTTGGTTAGTGTAGCCACAGCTTCCATCACTAAAAACACAATGGGTACATGTAGCACTGACCAACGATTACCATGCACTGGGGACACTGTGCAAGTTAATAAACACTGAACATATTCTTGGGAGTGTTATACTTGTAGAAATTCACACATAAATTGATGAGAAACATTGACTTGAGTTGTTAAGATGACACACTAGGATACTTTTCACGCTGTACTACTCGTGGTTCCTTACTGCACAGTGTTAGGCCATACACAATATTAATTAGATTAACCTAACCTAACATTGCAATGAGTGCTTTTGGTATCATTGCAATGGGTCCCTCTGACACCATAGTAATGGATGCCATTGGCACCATTTAAGTATTTATTATATATCCATCCACAAAATAGTTTAATATGGTATAATGTTTACAAATCACACCGTGTGTTAGTTAAGCCTCTGTTTGTACAGTGTGTCCCCTGTATATCCGATACGCTTATACTTTGTTTTGTTATAATAAAACAAAGATTGTCAAAGAAAACCATAAATTTATTGAATCATAATGAAGTACAAACAGGTGAGTTTCTTTTACTGTGCTCTAAACACATTATTACAGGTCTACTTCTTATAGATAAATTTTTTAAGTGTTGTCCATTACAACTGATTCACTCCCTGCAGTGAACCAGAACATTGTCAATTACTGCTTGCAATGTGTCATGTTGCAGAACATTCTTATTCCAAAATTGCGTTCTTAAAAACATATTTCTTGAAAACATTTAGTTTCGACAAGATGCGGCAACATGCCATATTGCTAAAATTGTTATGCAATGTCTAAGATAACAGTTTGGGGTGAGGATCATTTCCAGTTTCAGCAATGTTTTGTGGCCACCCCGAACTCTAGATGTATTCTCGCCAGAGTTCTTTCTGTGGGGATTCTTGAAGAGTCGGGTGTACAAGACAACACAAGACACGCCCTAAAACTAGAGATGACCTAAAAATTTGGATCACTGAAGCCATCGATGCTGTCCAACACAAAGGAATATATAAAACTAATTCAACTTTAGTTATAATTTTTTTTTACGGAGATTAGCCCACCCTGGCACAGGTCACTGACCCACATCGGGGCCAGGAGGGCGAGAAAGAAACAAAAGCAGATATAAATACAGAGATGAAAGAAATTAAACAAATCAAGAGTGACAAATGATATATACATACATATGTTGTGGTGGCAAAGCAAGAGACACAATTGAGACCCTGCAATTGTGTGGAGGCAGAAAGACAGATGAGCAACCTGGGACTTGGTCACAATTTTTGTGATGCCACATGGCAGCAGGGTCTACCATTAGACAGCACATTATTATGATGGAATATATTATGATTACACTGATTGTTTTATTTTATAAGACAAAGGATTATAGTGAAAATTTTCATAATTAATTAATAATTGAGGCAAACCATAGAGAGTAATTACACATGTTTGACATGTATAATGAGACGAAACAGGTTGTAGAGTGTGACCCCATAACCCGGTCTCAACAAATTGTGTACACGAAACAGCACCTGGGCTGGGAATACATTGACAACCCTGAGCCTGGCCACACTATTTGTAAACTCACACCCTCCCTCACTATACATCCCAGCATGTCCTTCAGGTTTCCATCCGTCACCATCACATCGTCTCTTCCTGACCAAATACAGTATCCCTCCGCCTTGAGACAGGCCTGACACTTGACATTATTAGAGACCTGCCACGCTTTGCCATAAACAGACGAACTGTACGAGGAATCCTCCGTCTATACACGCATTTTCCCTTAACTACATTTAACTCGCTAACACAACCAATGGCCCCTCAGGTAATCGTGCCCGTAAGCTGTATGAGTTAAACAAAGCAAACATGAACAATTGCTGCTTCACTGTTGGTCGTCGCAACGCTTCTTCTCTTCGCCTTACACAGGGTATAAGTGGGTGCCCAATAAACCAGGCCCCGTGCTGCATGGGACAAATATGAATCTATCTCTGAATAGTAAAGTGACGAGATAAAGAGAGAGAGAGAGCACTGTACCCATACATGATTCTTAACTAGCATTTTCACAGCACAAATCTGATTGGTGCTTTAAAATCACACACACACACACACACACACACACACACACACACACACACACACACACACACACACACACACACACACACACACACCAGCAAAAACAAGAAATATACAGTGGAGCGAGAGGGACTGAAGGCACTAACGCAGTATCATCACAGTAATAACCATCAGACAGAGATAGGAGAGTGTGAGGGAGACGGAAGAGGCTCCCTGGGTGGTTGTGGTGGTGGGAGTGGGAGTGGTGGTGGTGGTAGTGGTGGTGATGGGAGTGGGAGTGGTAGTGGTGGTAGTGGTAGTTGTGGTCGTGGTGGTGGTGGAGGTGGTGGTCTTGGTATTAATATCAGATGTTGTACTAGAAGCTGTGGTCGTTGAAGGGAGCTCGGGGATCTAGTATACATAGAAGAGAGAGAGAAAAAAAGACATTTAATAAGGACATAATAACACAAGTAAATAAAATATATAATTACTATAACATTACAATTATATCCAATATTAATTCATTACAATAACAAAGGTTAATGTTAATGGGGTCTGATTAATTAGTTATCCAGATACTCGGGTACATTTTACTGCATCACTCCCTATCTGTCTGTCCAGTTATATGCCAACCAACTATCCATCCATCCATCTGCAAGAGAAATGAAAACGAAGGAAAATGTCCCGTCAACTCACCTTAACGAGGATGGGTGCTGACGGAGGACCCTGTTGAGAAAAAAGGAACAGCGTCACTAAGAGGATCCATTATACACAACGTCTATTACTTATTCAGACAAGGAAGAATTGAAGTCTTACATCCGATTGTAATGTTTTAAGAGAAGCATCAAGACGGCAGAGTATTAGTAGAGTCATTTTCATGGAATCCTTAACCATAATGTACCTAACTTTTTCATGTTGTTGATCTACGTACTGAAACATTGGATTATTTAGAAAAGATTTAGCTTCTAGTACAGTCCTTTTCACTAGTGCGTTTACAGGGGTTCGCCTTATACATTCCACAAATCTTTGCATTAAGGTATTTGTTTAAATATTGTTTTACTTTGATTGCACAGTATGTTTACTCTTGTGAGTTTCCTTCTGTCCAATGTAAACAAACACAGGGCTAGAGCGTCAATTCCAAAATGGTCGCTGGTTGTTATAACATTTGAACTAAATACACTAGAATCATAAATGAGGGGTAATTTTCCACTAATTTTGAGGTGTGAAATCTGAGGGGGATAGGGTGGTCAATTTTTGGTTTGAGGGTCATCTTGACCTTCAAATCCAAGATGGCTACTATCAGGAATGTTGAAAAAAATATGGTGTAACTTAATAACCAAACGATCTATATACACGAATGAGGTTTCTTCTCCCACTGATTCCAGCATGGGGGAAAGGATAGGGCAGTTATTCTTCACTTTTGAGGTCACGGATTCCAAAAAAAAAAGACTCTACTATATTATAAGTGAAATATACTGAGTAAACATGTATAAGGAACTGTTTATAAAAACCTTAACAGAAATTAAAATATAATACGAATTAATAAAGTAAAAGATGATAAATGTGACAGAAATTTTGGATCAACTGAAGATTATTCCCTCATCCCTTAGTTTATTTTACCTGATGATTAAACACTGTAACGCTATGTTATTTGGTGGGGCGTTAGGATAGGATAGCAGGGGATAAGTTAGGTTGGGTTAGGTAAGTGTTGTATTGGTTAATCTTAAGGTTAATAGGCTGGGGTGTGGCTAATCTTCAAATGATCCAAAAATTTTCGAAGCAAATTACAATTACAAATAGCAACTGCCATGATAAGAGCAAATAATTATGTGTAATTATGTGTTCCTCGTCGTATTACTGGAGTGCTCTCTCTCGGTTCACTGACGCAGCAGATATAATAATTATGTTGATGTAAATAAACTCCTGGGTGAAACACATCATGTAACAGAAATCTGTCAATATATCTGCGATGCTCCGAATTTATATAAATAGTATAATACTGTATATGGATGAAATAGAGTCTACAGGAAATTCTTAACTTATGAAGCCTCACTACTAGAAATAAAAAGTACTGTAATTTTATTTTTTGTTGGACGAATTGAAAATTTATACTTTGTAATTCGTTAACACGTACTCCCGTTTTTTTCCCAATAAATTTACTAACTATTGGATCAATAGTTTGCCGGAGTTGACCCTCTTATCAGAAGAATTCTCCCGCACTTACCACTCTCTCTTCCCCAGAAGTGTCGAAACTGACGTCGGCGACGGCGATGTACACGTCGCCTTTATCTTCTGTGCCAGTGTAAGGGAGGATGACTTCAGCGGTGTGTGTGCCCCAAGGAACGTTGCCCGATCCATTCAAGGGCTGTCGGGAGCCAAGAACACAAGCTGGTTACATGTGAGGTAAGAGGATGGGGATACAGTGCAAAGTTTCTATTCTATCGGGGGGTCTCAGTATTATGACCTGGATTCGACTCCTGGCCTGGGACACACGTGTGACTAACAAACACTGAAGATGCTCTCTGGGTACTCAGGTTTCCTCTTGTACTAACACTTGAAAGTAACAAAGAACTGACCAACTGTTAGTAAGTTGATAAGTGAGGAGTGAGACCATAATGTTATACGCCTCCACAATAGGTTTAAATATTTCCCTGGATATTCTTATTTGTCCTAAAGTTACACAACCTCGCTGGTGGACCTCGATCACAGTCCGCGGAAGACTCGGCGTGTCCAGGGCCTTAGAATACAGTACTTAAAAATCTTCCCAGTCTGACGGAATGCAAGTAAGAATGTTTGTGTATTGTGAGAGCTGGGAGGAAAATCATATGTAAATGCATCTTCAAAATAAGGAAAAAACAAACATTACTTGTCACCTGAGCACGTGTTTCCCGCCCAATGGCCCTGTGACAAGACATGAGAATTTCCAGGCCCACTATTGTTCTGGTGAAAAAAATTAATGTGTGCTGTTGATGTGCCCTAATTTTCTTTCACTAAGACTAAACTATTTTGGCAAAAAAGACTCTTATAAAACTCTATTAACACATAGGCTTAGACGGCAAATATAATGCACACTGGCTTACTCACAATTCGAGCGTCTTGGAAGTTGTCTCTGACGGCGGAAAGGCTGTAGTCGTAGCGAACCCTGTAGTGGTCCTAGGGAGAAATGTCTTTTATAATTATCATCATAATTATTACTGTTCCATTATAACACGAAGAAAATTGTCCACTTTTCGTCATAAATTTATCTAGAAGAAAAAATAAATAAATTGTTGGAGGAGTGTATTACTAACATTGTTACGCTCTTACAAATCTTCGTTGTTGAAGGGCAGTAATAACATAGTAGTAACAACAAAAATAGATGGTCAGATTGTGAAGGTCATACTAATAGTCGCTGTGCATAAACTAGTATAAAAAGTTACTGTAATATTAATGTTTTTTCCACAAGACTGACGAAACTCACAAGGCGATTCAACAGTTATGGAAAAAAGTAGAGTCCTTGTGGATAAATTTCTTCATAAAGAGAAATGTACAATAAAATCTGGCAAATTAATTAGCTTAGGTTAGGTTAGGTTTGGTTAAGGATCTTCTGATGTGTATTGCTGTCCCACTCCTTCTGCCTTACGAAAAAATAATACTAATATCGATTAAAAACAAGAAAAAGGATAAGCACAGGGTCTATTGGCTACTGTGTTCGTAGAAATATAAGAATCGGAGCTCTCATGAAGATTAGGCACCCGCGCTTATTTCTCTTGATGACTAAACACCCTATTGCTAACCTAACCTAACCAAACCAATAACATATTTTATCGTTAGGGTGTTTAACCATCAGGTGAAATAAGATTGGATTCACAATCGTCATGAAATCCGATTTAGCTTGGATTTCTTCACCTTCTGGTCTGCTCTGTTGTTTTTCGTGACACCACTTCCGGCCCAGCTGATCGTCACTTTCAAGTTGTCGTCGTCAATCTGAGGAGGATGATCATCGTCGCTGGCCACCTCTGTCACCCGGAGAGGCAGCTCCTGTAATACACAGCCAGGATATGACACTACCAGGATAGGACTGACATAGGATTTGACACGCTGCTAGGATATGACACTTCTATGATATGAGATTACCAGGATATGACACTGCTAGCATATGACAGTTCTATGATATGAGACTACTAGGATATGACGCTGCTAGGATATGGCACTGCTTGGATATTACACGTTACTGGGACATGACACACTGTGAGTATATGACACTAGTTGCATATGACTGCTAGGATATGACACTGCTTGGATATGGCACTGCTTGGATATTACACGTTACTAGGACATGACACACTGTGAGTATATGACACTAGTTGCATATGACTGCTAGGATATGACACTGCTTGGATACGATACCACTAGGATATAATGCTGGTGAGAGAGAGAGAGAGAGAGAGAGAGAGAGAGAGAGAGAGAGAGAGGCCAACCTGAACGCCATTGGTGAGAGTGATCGTAAAGGGTAGCATGAGGAACACGTTGACTACGGCTGAGAGCTTGTTACCGTCACTGTAGCTGCCACAACAGTAACCTTCAGTCGGGTCTCGAGGCAACACCCCGGAGTAACCCTTCATTTTCTCTTCCTCTTTTTCCCACCTCTCACCTCCGGAAGGCGAACTGTAAGAGAAATTTAGTGGAAATTGGGGAACCACCTGGAGATTAGACACCTCAGCTTATTTCTTTCTGATGATAAAACACCCGAATGGAAACCTAATCTAACGGTAACCTAATCTAACGGTAACCTAATCTTACGGTAACCTAATCTTACGGTAACCTAACCTAAATTGACCTAGCATAACCCAAGCTAACGCTAATCTAATTTAAAGTGATCCGACTTAACGTAACCTAACCCAACCTAACTTCACCTAAACTGACCTAAACCTAACCTGGCCTAACCTAACCTTACGCTAACCATGCCTAAATTGACCTAACCTGACCTAACTTGCCGTTAACCTAACCTAACCTATCCTAACCTAACCTAATCTAATCTAACCTAAATTGACCTAAACTTAACTTAAACTAACGCTAATCACCAAAGACCTACCTAACTAGCTGAGGTTTAGTGCTGAAAGGAGAGAAGTCAGGGTCGTGGTTGATGGCCAGACGATTCACAGTGAGGATGGTGTTCGGTGCCCAGGTTCCCTTCACTTCCGCTGACCATATGTTGTCACGTCTACGAACGTCCACGTCTGTCGGCGGCGACATAATTATCTTCGTTAGTAGAGAATCACCAATAAGAGAGTCATTAAGAATATTAACCCCTTGAGTACGATAATATAATGCCTTGAGTACAATGACAACCCCTGGAATACGATGACACCTTAAGTACGATGAATTAACCTTTTGATAACGATTTATTTAATCCCATGAGTACGATGGCATAGCCCTTGACTACAGTGTCATGTTACTTACAGGGTTAAGCAGATCGAATTTTCACCCTCGTTACTTGTGGCAGAATATGAATGCGCAAATCTGACAACATTTTGACTCACATGCTGAAGTGAAATTCAGTATGTGAACTTCTTGAAACCTTGGCGCAATAGGTGGTTTGGTTTCTTATGTTCAATATAATAGTCTGGAGGCAATTTCCCCAAATGTGACATAGAGGATAATTTTCTGTTAAATGCTGGCAACATACTGTATATTTTCTGAAAGAGGAGAGTCTCCTGAACCAGGAAAACCATGTTGCCACCTAATGAGTTGGAGCAGAATTATAGCCAATTATGTTACAGTATATCTGAGTCATATTTTGACCATGAAAATGTAAACCATCAACTTACATTTCTATATAAAGTAATATCATATAGGGTTCTGTTATTTATTTCTATATTGCATAACTTGAGACTCTATGAAGAGTTTTGCGGCAGTCTGTGCTACATTGGGCACAGGAGAATAAGAGAAAACTAGATCCTTCAGTTATGCAGGCAGCTGATTAACTTGCCAAGGCTTTCCATGATACAGATGCTGAGGCATTAAAAGCTGTAATAGAGAATCTGTTGCCTGAAATGTAACATGGAGAAGTCCTGTTGAAGCAATATGACAGCACAAGCAAGCAATGTCATTAACATATTCTGGAGGCAGTACATAGATCTTGTTTCCATTCTCTCTCAGGTTCACATGGGCTGTCAGACGTGGTAAATGGGCCTTATATCCTCATACCTGTAGTCTTTTGTAGAACTGTTACCTTGGTTTGCAGCAGACGATTATGTCAACTACCTGAGATAGGGATGTGTTTTCTTGGCCCACATGAAGCATTTGGAGTGCACGCCGCCTGCAGTATAGGGTCTTCGTACACGTTAGCGCATTCTAATTCTAATTCAGGAAAAGTTTGTGAATTTTTATTGTATAATTTTGCCCAGGTTATTAAATAAATAAATAAATTCAACAAAAGGGCCAACAGGTAGATTGGATTCACGTTTCATGTCCTGGGCAACATACGGCATGCACTATGTATATGGCAGAAATCCATAAAATGTTTGGGGATTACATGGACCCCACTTGGTCTCCGTTGTAAGTAATTATTTCTCATAAACTGTACCTAAAACCACGTTATCAGGGTGGCAACATGGTTTTTCTTAGCCAGGAAGGATCCCAAATTGACCCCACACAGTCTGTCAAATTATAACAAATAATTATCCCAACCACCTTCACGAGGCCTCTTTTAAAGGTTTGCCTCCAAACTATAAAAAAAATAGCAAGAAAATGACTCCGATATGATTTAGATTGTGCCGTAACTAGACGTTCCTTCCGTCAACGCTTGGTATTATTGTGTGTTCCTATTCATTCTTTTGTTGTCCCTACTAATTTGAGTTTTTTCTTCTCTTTCCCCCCTTCCCTCCCCTTCCCTCCCTTATTCCTTTTCCTTCCCCTATTCCTTTATTCCTTCAACCTTTCCCCTTCTACTCATTTCCCTCCTCTTTTCCCTTCCCTACTCTTCCTTCCTCCCTTTGCCCCTCTCCTTCTATCCCTCATTTTTTTCCCTTCCTCCCTTCCCTTCTTCCTTCCTCCTCCCTCTACTTCACCCCCCTTTCCTACCTTCCCTCCTTACCTCCGCGTCCATCATCCACCATAGTAAGCACTCGGACCACAGGAGAGCCACTACCATCGTCTAGCGTCACCTCAGCTTGTACTGTCGTGCCCTCTATCACTCCGCCCCGTGAGTGAGAGACCTGGTAACACAACAGAATAATAATAATAATAATAACAATAATAATAATAATAATAATAATAATAATAATAATGTTTTGATAATGATAAAATGAAGAACAACAACAGCAAAGAATAAAAGGCAAAAGAAAATGAGTTACCTGGCAGTAGAGAAAGAGGTTGTTGCTTTCTGGTATATCCGCTTTCACTCCCTGGTCCTCGGATGACCACACGTCCACCACCACCTGTAACATGGACCCACACAGAATAAAAGGATTAACTCATCGTCTTCAAAGGGTTAAACCAAAGTCTCCAAGGTAGATAATGGTGTTAATGAGAGCCAGGTAGATAATGGTGTTAATGAGAGCCAGGTAGATAATGGTGTTAATGAGAGCCAGGTAGATAATGGTGTTAATGAGAGCTAGGTAGATAATGGTATTAATGAGAGCCAGGTAGATAATGGTGTTAATGAGAGCCAGGTAGATAATGGTGTTAATGAGAGCCAGGTAGATAATGGTGTTAATGAGAGCTATGTAGATAATGGTATTGAGAGCCATATGAGCCAGGTAGATGAAGGTGTTAATGAGAACCAGGTAGATGATGGTGTTAATGAGAGCCAGGTAGATAATGGTGTTAGTGAGAGCCAGGTAGATAATGGTGTCAATGAGAGCCAGGTAGATGATGGTGGTAATGAGAGCCAGGTAGATAATGGTGTTAATGAGAGCCAGGTAGAAAGTGGTGTTAATGAGAGCCAGGTAGATGATGGTGTTAATGAGAGCCAGGTAGATAATGGTGTTAGTGAGAGCCAGGTAGATAATGGTGTTAGTTAGAGCCAGGTAGATGATGGTGTTAATGAGAGCCAGGTAGATGATGGTGTTAGTGAGAGCCAGGTAGATGATGGTGTTAATGAGAGCCAGGTAGATGATGGTGTTAATGAGAGCCAGGTAGATGATGGTGTTAATGAGAGCCAGGTAGATAATGGTGTTAATGAGAGCCAGGTAGATGATGGTGTTAATGAGAGCCAGGTAGATGATGGTGTTAATGAGAGCCAGGTAGATGATGGTGTTAGTGAGAGCCAGGTAGATGATGGTGTTAATGAGAGCCAGGTAGATAATGGTGTTAATGAGAGCCAGGTAGTCACGTCACCTGTTGGTTTGAAGCATCTTTGTCCACCAAGCTCCAGGTAACCTCAGCCAATGCGTCCTCCTCTCCAACGTTTTCGACTGACACCCTGTACTCTGCCTGGTTATTGGCGACCTGAATATAAAAGAAATAAAATAGAAACACACACACACACACACATTGTGAAATTATTGCCCTGTGTTTTCGAGAGAGAGAGAGAGAGAGAGAGAGAGAGAGAGAGAGAGAGAGAGAGAGACGTACCGAGCTGACGGGGATGTAAACAAAGACCCCTGTGTCGGAGGTCTCGCAGTGGATGAGGTCTGGGTACTTCGGGTCATCACACGACACGTCATAATATAAGACTGGGTGCAGATAGTAGACCTCAATGTTGCTGGAGTTGAAGGGGGTCAGCTTTATGTAGGCGTTGATCTGTTTGACCTTGTCGTTGTCTATGATCACCAAGGGGAGGGTGGTTTTTTTACCAGCTGTAACATTGGTGCTGCTCACCCCGTACTGCAAGAGAAAGGAGGAGTGATCACATCATTTGTTATCTCCGATTCTAAGAGATATTTATGCTATTGTTTACCCTTAAATTGAGATAAGAGAAGCCTTTAGTTAGGCAGTATAGTTTTGGTTACCAACTTGTGCCTTAGCTTATGTCGGCTAGTTAGACGTCATCAAGCATCTAAAGCATAAAAAACATTTCAAGATGGAGAAATATTCGAAGAGGCCTTTTTAGAAGCAGCAGTTTCGTTGTTTGAAAATTTCAAAAATAAGTCTGAAATACTATACTGTCTTTATTAAGGATGGTCAGTTATCAAGAAACACTGTCAAGAGGTGCTGTGAATTTATGGCTGAGAATTTGGGTGAACAACTGAATAAAGACATGCGGAAGGGTAGATCGCATCAGGGTAACTGTGGAAGAAGTAGATCACATCACACAAAATGTTGGCCACGCCTGATCTAGAGTCATGGCAAAAATTTAACGTTCAAATCTCTGAAATTCCGGGACCTGGAGGATAAGAAGGGTGGTGGTATTAGCTGTGTTCTAATGTAAAATATTTGCTCACATCATCTCGTGCATACAGAAAATTAAGGCAAATATTTACTATATTCTCTAAGCTACCGGTCGACTCTCTAGCTGGTCAGGCTACAATGTTACAATCTTCCATATCCACTTAAGGGGTCACTTTAGAATATGGAAGCTGACAAACCGACAAAACACTATTCTTGGCTTCTACATGTGTGCTTACAGGAAACGTACTAGAAATTATTTTTAACTTACCAGCTTGTGGTCGTCGACGGTGTGAGCCTGTAGGTAAGTGTCCATGTCATCACTCAAGGCGGAGGCGGCCTGTTGGCGTTCCTCCTTGGCATAGAAGTGTCCACCGGTGTACTGGAGGAGAGGCGCCAGGGGCAGCATGTTCGCCAGCCCCTTACTACCTGGACTTAGCACTAACAACTTCACTCTCTTCTCTATTAGTGTGAGCTGCAATTGAACGTGGGCGTGATTAATTTATCTCAACACGTGAGCATGTTAAAGTGATTCAAATGAGAGAAAATATTATGATGACACTTTTATCCTGGAGTGTGTGTGTGTGTGTGTGTGTGTGTGTGTGTGTGTGTGTGTCATCATTTATATTAACAATTTCAGATTCTATAAGGTGCTTACCGTGTTTGTTGCTTGGAAACTATTATGTAGCATTCGTGTCGTGTATACACATAGTCTTACCAGAACATTATAGTGTAATGCATGGACTCGGGTGTTGCAAGAATAGTACAGAATAGCACGTGAATAAATGTGCTGTAACAGATAGTGTTATAAGGGCCGCACAGTATAACACGCGGGTACAGAGACAGTTCATCATGTCCCGTGTACAGCCACTCACCTTATCCAACAAATCAGCCTGGTCCTGGCTGACGAGGTTCCAGGAGACTGTCACGACTAGGGTGCCCGGGTAGTACGTCTCCCACCCCTCCACCACCTCCCTCACCGCCTCGCCCACAGGCGTCGTGCCTTCGTTTAGGCGATCACTAGTTTCTGGCAGTTTCTCAGCGATGTCACTGATGTCTGTTGAGATATTCGTGTGTTTGAAAGAGAGAGAGAGATCAGCCGGCTCCAGCCCTTGCTCAAATATTTGAATATTTGGAAACCCCCTTACTCAATTTCTAGGTTCGCCTCTGATCTCGTATATACATATATATATATATATATATATATATATATATATATATATATATATATATATATATATATATATATATATATATATATATATATATATATATATATATATATATATATATATATATATATGCTGGACTTGCCTCGTAAAAAACTTCCCATTAAGCAGATTCTGAGATTGATCGCTTTAAATAGGAGCTTTATTCTATATCAGTAAGTTGTGGTTCTTATGAGTGAACCAATGATAATTAGGCACAATAAATTTTCTCCGGAATTTTAAGCAAACTTGTTAAAAAATTATAAAAAGCTTCAAAGAATTTTATTAAAAGCCTCAAGTACTGTACTTTAGACACACCATCTGGTTGATAAACGAAAACTCAATAATTTCAGACAGATTCTCATAACTTTTAGACAAATACGAATATTAGTCAAAATCTGTAGACCAATTATTATCTATAAACACTCAAGAAGTATTAAGATATGACAATTAGATGAATTCCCAGGATTTCCAACAAGTTGAAATTTAAATTAGCAAAATTTCGTGTATTTACGAGAACTTTTTCCTAACACTCACCTTCGATTGAAGTGAAATTCATGTGTTTGATGAGCTCCGTCTCCCCATTTTTTTCCCTGAAGGTGGCCATCCCTACCTGTAGGGACCCGTAGAAGTCGAGGTTCTTGGTGAGGATGTCGTTTACCAGTTTGGTTACGTACGTGACGTCTTCCTGGGGAAGGGAAATACTGGCGATAAGAAACACGTTCCAGGTCAGTGTTGATAGTGAAGACGCCGCTCTCCAGGTTACTGTGATTTCTCTCAAGTGAAACAAGGCGTCTGTGGTGAACACTGTAAAGTAAGGTCCCCAACCCACAAAGAAGACATATACGCTTATTTAAAGAAACTAAAATGAAATTAAAATATACTTAATAAAATATACATCTGGCATAAATTACTTTCTTTTGTCTTTCTTATTTAAAATATGGCTTTAATTTATGAAAAATATATGAAAACACACACACACACACACACACACACTTACGTCAGTGTTGGGCGTGTCGAAGAGGAAGAATACCCTGGCCTGAGGAGCTTTGTGGAAGGTGGTGCTTCCTATACTATCCACGGGATCATTGGTACTCCTGTAGGGATGGACGGGCATATAAGTTTATCGATGATTGGTTTAATTGTGGCTTCTCATGTGAGGCGATCAGTGATCGGTTAAAGTGTGGTTGATCATGTAAAGCGATTATTGATTGGCTAAAGTGTGGCTGCTCATGTAAGGCGATTCATGATTGGTTAAACTGTGGCTGCTCATGTGAGGCGATCAGTGATTGGTTAAAGTGTGGCTGCTCATGTGAGGCGATCAGTGATCGGTTAAAGTGTGGCTGATCATGTAAAGCGATTATTGATTGGCTAAAGTGTGGCTGCTCATGTAAGGCGATTCATGATTGGTTAAAGTGCGGCTTAATATCGACACTTTATTCAGTAAAATCGTCTGACAAGTTTACAATTGGTTCAGCGTGTATATAGACAATGGAGATTCAGTATACACTTTAGCATGTACAGTACATAAGCACTACGGATAAAAAGTGCACATATACCGTACAAGTATACAACTAATGTACAGTACATAGACAGTGCAAGTATACAAAACCAATGGTAAACAGTAAGACAATTTGACCAAGGATAGCTAATAAAATTATCTAATGTTTATTTCTAAGTGTGACTTTTTAGGGCCAACCTATTCTAACTTACTACCAGTCTGTCAGTTCTTTGTAATTTTGTGATATATGGTATTAAAAAAGGCCATATCAGAGTACGATGGTGATACGTAGAATGAGAGGAACAGAGAACGAGCGATATAAAGAGAGAGAGAGAGAGAAGGAAAAGACGAAGAAGAAGAACTCACCTAAAGTCAGGGTGTTTATTGAGCATCTCCCACACAGATCGTCGGCCACACTGTAGGTTCTGCGGAGTGGGAGCCCAGGGGTCGTGTGTCTCACTGTCACAGAAGTTCCCATCCTGTTGGTTCAAATAAATGCACTGGGTGATGAATGCTCTCTCTCTCTCTCTCTCAGCCTGTCCCCTTTTCTTGCTTTGTTTCATTCTCTATCTATCTATCTATCTTTCAATTCTCTCTTTCTCTCACTACTCACCGAGAGGTAAGTGAGAGACATCAGTGAGGATTTGGTTGAGGAAGCATTGTTGTTCTCGTCTGGGAAGAAATAACATTGGCTGTTGTCGTCTTTGCAGTTCTCGCCTTTCCTGCGCGAGCAAACATAGAAATATCAACAAAGAGAAAAATAAACATAATTCTTCGCTTATGCTGTAGTTATATATTTGTTTATTTGATTACATTTATTTATTGTTTATATGTTAATTTTTTATTTTTTTTTGCTTATTTAAGGAAGGAACTTTATTAATCTAAGTCTTTTTAAGTCTTAAGTTATTGTTGTACTTACAATTTAAACAACTAATATGTTTTTAACATTTATAAGTAGAAGCGAGTGTGATAATATTGTGAAGGTGTTTACTTACGTTCCCGTATGAGTGACTCATCTACCATATGAGTGACTGATCTACCATATAAGCGACTGATCTACCATATAAGTGACTGATCTACCATATAAGTGACTGATCTACCATATAAGTGACTGATCTACCATATAAGTGACTGATCTACCATATAAGTGACTGATCTACCATATAAGTGACTGATCTACCATATAAGTGACTGATCTACCATAGAAGTGACTGATCTACCATAGAAGTGACTGATCTACCATATAAGTGACTGATCTACCATAGAAGTGACTGATCTACCATATAAGTGACTGATCTACCATAGAAGTGACTGATCTACCATAGAAGTGACTGATCTACCATAGAAGTGACTGATCTACCTTATATGTGACTGATCTACCATATAAGTGACTGATCTACCATATAAGTGACTGATCTACCATATAAGTGACTGATCTACCATATAAGTGACTGATCTATCATATATGTGACTGATCTACCATATAAGTGACTGATCTACTATATAAGTGACTGATCTACCATATAAGTGACTGATCTACCATACAAGTGACTGATCTACCATATAAGTGACTGATCTACCATATAAGTGACTGATCTACCATACAAGTGACTGATCTACCATATAAGTGACTGATCTACCATATAAGTGACTGATCTACCATATAAGTGACTGATCTACCATATAAGTGACTGATCTACCATAGAAGTGACCGGTCTATTTAATTATCAGTCAATATAGTACAGTCAGTCACCACTCACTTCGTCTTGAACTCTCCGTGGAGGTGACCGTGGTGACACGCTGTAGGGAGGGTCTCGCCGTTTGCTGTGGAGTATCTGACGGGGTACACCGAGTCGCCAGGGTAGCCGTACTCCTCCCACACACCCCAGCGGTAGTGAGCCCACTCGTGCATGAATACGTACCCTGCCATGCAAGAACGTCACTTAAGAGGCAAACACGTGTGTGATAGTCAGAAGATATTATAGATGATGAGAGAGAGAGGGAGAGAGAGGTATGATAAAAAACTTGGATAACTTGAAAAATAAGAACCCTAGTTTATTTCACCTGATAATTAAACACCCTAACGATACTCTAACTTAACGTAATATAATCAAACTTAACTTAGCCTTAGCTACTGTTCACAAGTAGCGTTAGTGTGTTTAATTATATCAGGAGAAATATATATGTGTTCAGGGTGTCCGGATGCTTAAGATGCGAAAGAGAAAGAATAAAATTATCGATATTATTTACTTTCTTATCCCAGAGAAGAACTGACTACTCTGTTATTTTATCAGAAGCGAAGTTTTATGTACAAAGTGAAAAAGAAAATTAATCTTTAACTGGAAAGAAAATGTGTCTCGAATTTAGATAAAAAACAAAAAGTAACTAATAGCGTAAGATAAAAAATGATTGTTGTTGAAAAGAAGATGGATATCGATTTACTGATATACAATGAAGGGAATTAATAACACACACACACACACACACACACACACACACACACACACACACACACACACACACACACACTGACCTTGTGGGCCATACTTCTCCTCAACCTCGATAGGGTCAAGGAAGGGAGTATAGAAGGTCATGTAGCGCCCCGGGACTCCACACTGTCCAGCCTGTGGGAATACGAGGTCAATCCAGGTCAGAAAGAGTGAGCAGAACCTTAGGTCAGTTAAGTTAGGTTATTTTATGTCAGGCTAGGACAGATAAGGTCAGGATAGATTAGGTTAGGTTTGGTAAGGTCAGGTTAAATTTGGTAAGGTCAGGTCAGGTGAGGTTAGGAGAAGTTGGATCAGGTTAGGTAAAATTAAGGTAAGTATTATTTGGTTTAGGTTAGGTTAGGTTTGGTTAGGCTAAAAGTTAGTACGAGTGTTTTAGTTACAGTATGTTTAGATTAGCGAGGTTAGGTTAGGTTTGGTTAGGCTAAAAGTTAGTACGAGTGTTTTAGTTACAGTATGTTTAGATTAGCGATAGATAAATTTTGCGAGATTAGCTTTAATTAACTTTAGGTTGGTTAAGTTATGTTTCGTTACGTTTGGTTGCATTAAATTAACTAAGTTTAGGTTAATTTAAGTTAATTTATATTCGCTACTTTAAGCTAAGTTAAGTTTGGTTAAGTTACGTTACATTAAATAAAGCAATGTTAGATTACGTTAGGTTAATTTACCTTAGAGTTTTTAGGTTAGGTTAGGTTCGATTAGGTTAGGTTAGGTTAGGTTAGGTTAGATTATCTTAGGTTAGGTTATGTTAGGCTATGTTAAGTTAAATTAGTTCACATTTGGTTATCTTACGGTGAGTTAAGTGAGGTTAGGTTAGGTTAGAGTCGGTGAGATATCTTCTGACAGACAGGTGAAAGAAACACTCACTCACACACACACACACCTGTACGGTATACGGGGGTTGAGTCTTTCTCTGCGGCTCCACCAAGCGTATGTCAGCGCTGTGCCATGTCAGGTGCTGTTGAGGCTCTCCCAGGGGCCAGTCTTTCGTGTTGTTCCACCAGTGAGGTAACACCACCTTCGCGGACCCCATAGACAGGCGCCCTCTCGTCGACTTCGAGAGGGCGGTATTCACGTTGGCCAAAAGATCCTGAGGAAAGGGGAGAGAGATACAGATGAAGGACAGGAAAATTATTGTGTGTGAAGGGGCTGCAAGATTAGGGAGGAGGGGGAGGGAGGGACACTGTAGTGGAGGACACCTAGGAGAAGAGGGCGGTGGAGGAGGTCCTAGGAGAAGAGGGTGGTGGAGGAGGTCCTAGGAGAAGAGGGAAATGGAGGAGGTCCTAGGAGAAGAGGGAAATGGAGGAGGTCCTAGGAGAAGAGGGCGGTGGAGGAGGTCCTAGGAGAAGAGGGTGGTGGAGGAGGTTCCTAGGGAGAAGAGGGAAATGGAGGAGGTCTAGGAGAAGAGGGAAATGGAGGAGGTCCTAGGAGAAGAGGGAAATGGAGGAGGTCCTAGGAGAAGAGGGAAATGGAGGAGGTCCTAGAGAAGAGGGCGGTGGAGGAGGTCCTAGGAGAAGAGGGTGGTGGAGGAGGTCCTAGGGAGAGAAGAGGGCGGTGAAGGAGTTCCTAGGGAGAAGAGGGAAATGGAGGAGTCCTAGGAGAAGAGGGAAGTGGAGGACACCTAGGAGAAGAGGGCGGTGGAGGAGGTCCTAGGAGAAGAGGGTGGTGGAGGAGGTCCTAGGAGAAGAGGGAAATGGAGGAGGTCCTAGGAGAAGAGGGAAATGGAGGAGGTCCTAGGAGAAGAGGGCGGTGGAGGAGGTCCTAGGAGAAGAGGGTGGTGGAGGAGGTTCCTAGGGAGAAGAGGGAAATGGAGGAGGTCTAGGAGAAGAGGGAAATGGAGGAGGTCCTAGGAGAAGAGAGGAGGTCCTGGGGTGGTGGAGGAGGTCCTGGTGACTCGAGGAGAAGAGGGCCTAGAGAAGAAGGAGGTCCTAGGAGAAAGAGGGTGGTGGAGGAGGTCCTAGGAGAAGAGGGTGGTGGAGGAGGTCCTAGGAGAAGAGAGGAGTTCCTGGAAATGGAGGAGGTCCTAGGAGAAGAGGGAAATGGAGGAGGTCCTAGGGAGAAGAGGGGGTGGAGGAGGGAAGAGGGGTGGTGGAGGAGGTCTTAGGAGAAGAGGGAAATGGAGGAGGTCCTAGGAGAAGAGGGAAAGGAGGAGGTCCTAGGGAGAAGAGGGCGGTGGAGGGTCCTAGGAGAAGAGGGTGGTGGAGGAGGTCCTAGGGAGAGGAGGTGGTGGAGGAGGTCCAGAGGAGTCGGTGGAGGACCTGGAGGAGGCCCTGGAGGAGGAGGAGAAGAGGGTGGTGGAGGAGGTCCTAGGAGAAGAGGGTGGTGGAGGAGGTCCTAGGAGAAGAGGGTGGTGGAGGAGGTCCTAGGAGAAGAGGGTGGTGGAGGAGGTCCTAGGAGAAGAGGGTGGTGGAGGAGGTCCTAGGAGACGTACCTTAACGTTAGAAGTGAAGCTGTGATCAATTATATCCATCCTCATTTGAGGATCGAGTGCGATGACTAGGTCGTGGTAACGGCCATCACGCACATCCAGGCCGCCCACGCCCACGCACACCCATGCTGCTAGCCAGGCCAACGCCATACCCGCCCACAAACGTCCTAGACAAGGTGAAGAAAAGGTAGCATCGTGAGTTGTGGTGGAACAGACAGACATACATACGTCGTGTCAGAGAGGTAGATTAACTAAATCACAACAACGTGTAATCTCCCTTGCTTCCCTTATCGTATAAACCCAGGTGCTAAATCCCTGGTCCACTGATGTCATCACTGGGATTATTAAACTATCAGCTGTTGATTATGTTTAGATCTGTTGTTCTAGTTTATTTATCTTTTCTTTTTTAAGTTCTCTAAATTCGTGTGTTTTAATGTTTTATCTTTATAGTTGTCGTGCCCGCGTTTTGTGTGTGTGTGTGTGTGTGTGTGTGTGTGTGTGTGTGTCGCCTTAAATGGGGATACGAACACCTCATATAGTTACTTTGAGAGGCAAGAAAAGAGAGTGAAAGATAGAGAGAGAGAGAGAGAGAGAGAGAGAGAGAGAGAGAGAGAGAGAGAGAGAGAGAGAGAGAGAGAGATTATACCATTCTTGCTATAATCCCAGGTACCGCCTTATCATCACCCAACTACAAGTCTTAAAAAAAAAAATAACGGAATATTTCTCTCTCATTTTTTATATATATCATCCACAAGTCATCAAAAAATCTAACAGGATATGATAACAGAACCAAAAGAACTCGTTTATAACCGCAAGACACTGTTATCTTGGACAAATTCTTAATAAGAGATAAGCCTGGTTTATGTCATGACTGGCTGGCTGTTCCCATGTTGAGGTTGTTACATAATTACCACTGTGGTTTTGGATCACGTGAAAATTAGGCAGCCCAGCCTGTTTACACGATTAGGCATCTTCATACTAACCTAATCTAACTCCAATGCTAGCCAATACTAACCTAATCTAACGCTAACCTAACACTTATCCTAGCCGAACCTAATTTAACCTAACCTATCAGCTACCACCATCAATTACCACCACCACCACCACAATATCATCTGTCTGTCCTCTTGACTAGTAATAAACACTAACTAGCTGGTTGAGTCTGGAGAACCGTAGGATTCACGGAAGGGATCTCTAGTATACAATCTTTACTTGATTTTTTGAGGAGTGTCTTATAATTCTAAGTGTTATGACGCCGTGTGTATATATAATAAATAAATCATTGCTGTTGATAATTTTTTGTGATATGGATTATTATTATTATTATTATTATTATTATAGATCCTCTCACTATTTTTGTTCCTTTTAACACTATCATAATTACTACCATTACAGAATTATCATGCAAGACGATTATAAGGAAATATTTCTTTACAGTGAGATTGGTAGACCTATAGAAAAGTCTATCGGTCCAAGCTGTGGAATCAAAATCAGTACTGGACTACAAAATAGCCCTTGACAAGACTATCATCAACATTGGAAGCATCCTACACTCATACCGCTGGCCGCCATCCCTCACACCCCCCCACCACCCATCATCTCTAGTTTGGTAAAGAATTGCATAACTTTAACATCGAATTTATTTTCCTACTACTACTACTACTACTACTACTACTACTACCTTGATATAGTAATGATATTCACTAGTCCTTTACTGTATATATACTCTGCCGTCACCTCTCCTTCACTGTGGTTGACTCGGAGGGATTAACAGGCTTTGGGTAGTCGATATAAAGGACTTTGGGAGGATTACACCTTATTACGTGTCTCCTGGTGTAATGTTGAGCTGATAAACAACAAGTGACATAACTCGGGAAGGTTGATATTGTTTGGAGCTGATGTACTGTATGTTTCACGTCACAGGTTGTTCATTAATAGTCACAAGTACTTTAAGTGTTCATATAACAGTCACAAGTACTTTAAGTGTTCATATAACAGTCACAAGTACTTTAAGTGTTCATATAACAGTCACAAGTACCTTAAGTGTTCATATAACAGTCACAAGTACTTTAAGTGTTCATATAACAGTCACAAGTACCTTAAGTGTTCATATAACAGTCACAAGTACCTTAAGTGTTCATCTAACGGTCACAAGTACCTTAAGTGTTCATATAACAGTCACACGTACCTTAAGTGTTCATCTAACAGTCACAAGTACCTTAAGTGTTCATATAACAGTCACAAGTACCTTAAGTGTTCATCTAACAGTCACAAGTACCTTAAGTGTTCATATAACAGTCACAAGTACCTTAAGTGTTCATATAACAGTCACAAGTACTTTAAGTGTTCATATAACAGTCACAAGTACCTTAAGAGTTCATCTAACAGTCACAAGTACCTTAAGTAGTTGGTGAAGAGGGACAAAAAGTATAGAAATTCTACCTAACAAACTTTGGATAATCCAATACGTTAAAATTCCTAAACAACCACCAAAACCTTACTTTAGGAATAAAATATAACTCTCTTGCCCTTGTGGCTCATTTGTCTTACCCATGTTGTGTAAACGTGAAGGGAAAGGTGATGCTTCTCAAGGAACGCCGTGTGCTTCTCCCTCACAGTCGTCAGGAAGAATGGCCGTTACCCTCCCTGGCGGCCACAGGTAACTTTATATAGGTGGCGGTGTTATCTATTACCTGGATTACTCGCCAGCTCTCGCCAGTCTTGTGAAATATTTATTGGCTGTGTTGTAGGGGCAGGCTGTGTTGTGGGGGCAGGCTGTGTTAAGCGGCAGGCTGTGTTGTGGGGAACAGGCTGTGTTGTGGGGAGCAGGCTGTGTTGTGGGGGCAGGCTGTGTTGTGGGGGGGTGGCTGTGTTAAGCGGCAGGCTGTGTTGTCGGGGGGGTGGCTGTGGGCTAGGGGGCAGGCTGTTGTGTGGAACAGGCTGTGTTGTGGGGGCAGGCTGTGTTGTGGAGGGGCAGGCTGTGTTGTGGGGGCAGGCTGTGGGCAGTGGCAGGCTGTGTTGTCGTGGCAGGCTGTGTGTTGGGGAACAGGCTGGGGCAGGCTGTGTTAAGTGGCAGGTCAGGCCAGGGGGCAGGCTGTGCTGTGGGGGCAGGCTGTGTTAAGTGGCAGGTTGTGTTGTCGCGGGCAGGCTGTGGGCAGGGGGGAACAGGCCAGGTTGTGGGGGGGCAGGCTGCCAGGGGAGGGCAGGCTGTGCTCTGGGGGGCAGGCTGTGTTGTGGGAGTGACAGGAAAGTGTTGTGGAGGGGAAGAAAGTGTTGTGGAGAGAGGAAAGTGTTGTGGAGGAGAGAAAGCAAGTTGTGGGAGGAAGACAGGAAAGTGTTGTGGAGGGGAAGAAAGGCCAGGGAGGAGAGGAAAGTGTTGGGGAGGAGAGGAAAGTGGTTAGGGAGGGAGGAAAGTGTTGTGGAGGACAGGAAAAGTGTTGTGAGGGGAAGCAGTGGGGTTAGGAGGACAGGAAAGGTTGTGGAGGAGAGTAAAGTGTTGTGGGAGGGGAAGAAAGTGTTGTGGGAGGACAGGAAAGTGTTGGGGAGGGGAAGAAAGTGTTGTGGGAGGACAGGAAAGTGTTGTGGGAGGGGAGAGGAAAGTGTTGGGGGAGGACAGGAAAGTGTTGTGGAGGGAAGAAAGTGTTGGGGAGGGGAGGAAAGTGTTGTGGAGGACAGGGAAAGTGTTGTGGAGGGGAAAGTGTCAGGGAGAGAGGAAAGTAAGGAGGACAGGGAAAGTGTTGTGGAGGACAGGGAAAGTGTTGTGGGAGGGGAGGAAAGTGTTGTGGAGGGAAGAAAGGTTAGAGGAGGAAAGTGTTAGGGGAGGACAGGAAAGTGTTGTGGAGGACAGGAAAGTGTTGTGGGAGGGGAAGAAAGTGTTGTGGAGGAGAGGAAAGGTTAGGAGGGGAGGAAAGGTTGTGGAAGAGAGGAAAGTGTTGTGGGAGGACAGGAAAGTGTTGTGGAGGGAAGCAAAGTGGTTAGGAGGAGAGGAAAGTGTTGTGGGAGGACAGGGAAAGGTTAGAAAGAGAGGAAAGTGTTGTGGGAGGAGACAGGAAAAGGTTAGGAGGGAAGAAAGTAAGGGGGAGAGAGAGGAAAGTGTTGTGGGAGGGGAGGAGAAAGCAAGGTGGAGAGAGAAAAGTTGTGCAGGGACAGGGAAAGTGTTGTGGAGGGGAAGAAAGTGTTGTGGAGGAGAGGAAAGTACAGGGAGGACAGGAAAGTGTTGTGGAGGGGAAGAAAGTAAGGAGGAGGAAAGTGTTGTGGGAGGGGAGGAAAGTGTTGTGAAAGAGAGGAAAGTGTTGTGGAGGACTGGAAAGTGTTGTGGTAAGGGAGGAACGTGTTATGGGAGGGGAGGAACGTGTTGTCTTTTTTATTTTTAACCAAACCTCTGTTTAATTCTTACACACACTAACGAATTTCAAATATTATAATTACAATAATTCTAGATAATTGCTAGGTTAGGTTAGGTTAGTTCAGTTCACAGGAAGGTCATGACAGTTTTGTACGCATCGCAAAGTATTGATTATGTTGTCTGTTTTTTTTCCCAATAAATAACTACAATCTGATGACTTGGTAAGGCAGGTAATGCCGAAGAATGGCAGTCTTATAGGTTCTTCGACAACGAAAAACTGAGTAGAAGTTATTCTTATTTTTGATAATGACCTCAGAACACCAATGACTCATGTCATTATAAATGATGGAATTCTTTAGGAGACATTGTTAAGTGTTGGTAAGGCAAAGTTAAATTAACAAGTGTCGTGGGACGCTGTGTGCTTTTGTTTCTTTCCCCAAGCAGGAAAGTACACTCAAGAAGTTCTCCAAAACATGCTTGACAACACGGTCCAGCCAGTTAAAACAAAGAGACGTTTTGTGTCACACTGGGATGCTTGTTGGCGTCTGGCCAACAACGAAAGTAAACAACAAAGCGTCTAGACGAGGTTCTCCTTATATCCCGTTACTACAGTTGAGGACTTGCAGGATTGTGTTATAGTTCTTCAATTGATGAAGCAAGTGAGGCGTCTGTATAGGCTAAAGGCGTTTAGGCCAACAGCCATCAAACAACAACAACATGTTTGGAGGAAAGTGTACAGCCATCTTAATTCGCCCGAATGTTCGTTGTTGTCGATGACGTTACTGATAAGCTGCTTTCAAACTTGACAGTCATCAGATAGGCGTATTAATTAATACCTGTCAGGGATCACTTGATATAACATAAGAACATAAGAACATAAGAAAATAAGGAGTCTGCAATAGGCCGGTTGGCCTGTGCATGGCAGCTCCTGTCGAAAGTTACTACCACTCTCTATCATCCATGAATCTATCTAGCCTCCTTTTAAAACTTTCCAGCGTTCCAGCACTTACTACAAAGTTGCTAAGCTTGTTCCACTCGTCCACCACCCTATTTGTGAACCAGTTTCTTCCTATCTCCCTCCTAAACCTAAACTTATCCAACTTAAATCCGTTGCTCCGAGTCCTATCCTGCTCGGATGTTATAAGAACTTTATCTATATCCCCTTTATTGATTCCTTTCACCCACTTAAATACTTCTATCATATCTCCCCGCACTCTTCGTTTGTTTACGCAAAGTATAAGCAAACAAAACTGTATGTGAATGCCGGAGGTTTGCTGATTGTGTAAACCGTTTGCTTTATTTATGCAAAATCAAACACAACCAGAAAAAAAATGTCTGCACAAATTTTGTTTGTGCGGACCAGAAACATATTCAGTCCTTTCCTCTACCTGTTGAACAGTCTCGTTATTGTACTGACGTATTCCTAATTATTGACGATTGACACATTTCGTCGCAAAGTTTTGGAGCCGTCGTATTTATCCGTCGCGAACAAGGAGGCGACTAGGGCTGTGAGCCCCCCCATGTGATGGCTGGCTTAAAATGAATACACATATATACGATGGGTAATTGTTTCCGCAGGAAGATAGTCAGGTTAAGTTAGAGTAGGTCAAATTAGATTAGAGTAGGTCAGGTCAGGTCAGGTCAGGTTGGGATTCATTTGAACTTCTGGCGCAAACACCTATGCAACATTTGGTCTTGAGGTGAATGTACCGTAAGCGTCAGATTGTCTTTCAGCCTGCCCCTGGTTCAGCCACACCTCCACCATCCATCCAGTTTAACGGTACTACCCTCTCTAATGTTACCCACTTTCAGTATCTTGTCTCCCACCTGTCCACCACCACAGACATCGATGAAAAATTCAACATCGGATCAGATTTGCATCCCAAGCCCTTGGCCGACAACATACCCGTATCTTCAGCTGCAGGGAGCTGAAATTATCTACGAAGTTGGACGTATATAGATCAGTGGTCTTCTTCACCCTGCTATATGGCAGCGAGACATAGGTCACATATAGGAGCACTTGAAAACTTTCACCAACGTAGTCTACGTTCCATCTTCCGAGTTCGGTGGGAAGACAAGAGAGCAAATGTCAGTTTTCTCGCTGACGCCAACTATAGGAGCATCAAGGCTACCTTTATCCATGAACAACTACGTTGGACTGGCCATGTTACCTGCTAAAGCAGCTACTTTAGTCACCTAACGAATGGTAAACGTAACACTGGCGGGCAACGGAAAAGATATAAAGATAGTCTTGAGACAAACCTGAAAAAGTGCCAAATCGACCCCCTCACCTGGGAGAGGATTACAATTGTTTTATACCATTGCGATAGTAGTACTGTATTTACAGCATTGTGATGAAAAATGCGAAGGACTAATAATTAATTTGGCGGAGTCTGGTCAAAAAATGAGTGAGTAAGCGGCTTTGGGTACACCATTAGTTATTGATACGTGTGATATATTAACAGATTGTTCCCCTCCACATATAGTAACAAACTAACATACATCCCACCCAGGAAAATAGCTACAAATTAATGGTTATAAACAAAGACTTACGGGGAAGAGGGGTGGAAGGCTGTCAAGATGATGTGGGGAGGGGGAGGGGGGGAGTGTCTGTGATGGATGGGGAGGGACACAATGACGTACGAGGCTTTACGCTAGATTAAAAATGTCTCACTCAATCATTTCGCTAATACTAACCCTGGTAGTGTCATTTAAAAAAAATGTGTCTCAGTCAGGTGATACAAACAGGAAGGTATTTGTACTATACTGTACGTGTCTTAGATCAGTTAACGTGTTGGGATATGAGTAGTGATTTTTAGGACACAAGACAAATTTCGTTCCTCAGGGTATTATCATTATTATCTATGCCTACAGCTCTTATTGTACACTTAGTCACTGAATCACTCACTAGCTGGCAGAGGAGTTGTTAGGTTAACCTGGTTTGGATTTTGGTGTTCTAACCGCTCTTTCTGCGCCTGACTTTTTTTCATGTCACTCAGTCACTCATCGAATATAATTATTCATATCTACTCTGGTCTGGTACATTGATGTAAGAGTTCATTTTAACTTAATACAAAGATACTACATAGATTCTTTGTTATTACTTAAGAATAACACGATAAAATTCGAGGACATTTCGCGGCATTGCCCGTCAGAACGAGATATGCCCGGAGAGCTCTAGAATGATTTAGGCTTACAATACACAAGTAAATCAAAAGAAAAATGAACCAATACATTCTATAAAATTCTTACATAAGTAATACATCAATATACCCAAGAAAACCTCCCAAAACTTGCCAAAGTAACTGCTACTTGGAATAGAAAATAATCAAAAGACCTACTTCACAAAAATTATAATACTAAATTATGCCTCTGCCTAACAATACCATTATTTACATAACGTCAGGGGAATAGTTCTTGCTCAAATCGCTTTATCTAGTAAAAATTCCATATTTTTAACATTATCTACAGTATGTGGAGGAGTGTTTGCTTATAGTCTTTCTACATGAGATGAGAGAACTAGATAAGTTTGAAATTTATGATATTTTTAAGATAAATTGATAGACACAGAGAGGACCCTAAAGTGCCCTGACAATGTCGTAGCGTTAAAAAAATGAAAAGCCTCAGGGAGTATTTAGATACATGAAAAATCACAGTCATTAAACACTTCGAATAGTAGAGTGAGTGGGCACGAGTCCACCCTCCCATCCAACTCACAACGACTCACACAAGGAGCGATTCTCAACATATTATATAGGGTGTCCCGGAAAAACGTACATTTTTCTGGGACACCCTACATTGCTGCTTCGTTGCTAACCCCCCTAAGGACTGTAAACCCACGGCAAAGTAAAAACCATTAAGTTTTTTCGTCGCCTTTAGGAGTTAGTGAGGCCCACTATCACAAAGGCGATCACTGACTTTGTATCAGAGTACAAGCGTCCTCTTTCTTCATTTTTCACAGTGCATTATATTTTTTTTAGCTTTTCGTATCTCTCTATCTTCCCCATTCATTGAAAAAGACAGAAAGATATTACATGATCTATTGATTTTCATATGCGGGTTAGATTTTTTTCTCTGTTATGAAAGAAAGTAAATATGATGTAATCATTTCGCGATTTATTTTTCAGAATAAACTAAAAACAACAACATAACCCTACTACCTGGTTCCACCTTCCCTTCATCTGATACAGAAATTCATTGTATTCTTTTATACTCTTTATACTGTAGTACATCTCTATACGCCTGAGGGAGAGCTACTTCATCTCACAGCTGTTCCTCCATGGGGTCTACGGAAACCATGGAGGCCGGTTAAATCCATCCCCCACCCCCCCCAAAAAAAAACACAAACACGACTCGCAGCCAGGAGATTAACCCTTCTGTAGTCAACATTCACCATTTTACTGTGGAATAGTAAAACTCCTCGGAACAAACGCGCGCGATTTGCACTTCTTAAGGAGACATGCCGGGATATGCATACACCAGGTCAGATCAAGGTATGTGAGGGACCTGTGTACATGAGGTCAGGTCAAGGTTTATCAATGAGACAGCAGGATATGTGTTATAACGTCACCGCTGATGTGAGAAACCCCTGATAACGCGCATTAAACTTGATTAAAAAATAGATTTATTGTAATCCACCACTAGTGGTGCAACCTCTTAAGTAATACTAGACACGGACACGGACACATAATATGTATAAATACGAATAATCAAATATCCATCTTTGCCTTACAGAACCGTGAATATTATGTCTTGCTAAGTGTATAGGTAAAAAACGTAAATGGTATATTGTAAACAGCTAAAATACTTTCCTGTTATCGGTCGTGGAAAATGATGTCTCCCTCCCTAATAATTTGTGCCCACTGGGACTGCTGACCCTTTGTTTTGTTGTTGTTTTTATTTTATGAAACCCTGTTTTACTATTCTTGTCAATAACAGAGAAGAATTAAAATCCTGGGCCAGTAAACAGCATCTAGTTACTCAAGCTACTCGGCAAAATTAGCTAAGAGATCACATGAAGTTTACTTAGTTCACCTGATTGTTTAACACCCTAACGCTAGCTGGGGGAAGTAGATTAGGATAGGTTTGGTTAGGTTACGTTAGGTTAGGTCAGCGGTAGGGTGGTTAGGTTAGGTTAGGTTAGGGTAGGTTAGGTCAGCGGTAGGGTGGTTAATCTTATGGTGAAATAAACTCGGGGGCTAATCTTCAGTTGATCCTAGCCTAGAGTTCCCCTCAGTGCCGGATTTAGACCTGTGGAGGCCCATGGGCAGCCTCTTTGTGGAGGCCCCCCTCATTATAACTACCCAAGAGGGTGGGGTGGCGAGTGAAGCGAGCCTAAACCATCTGGGAGTCCCGGGGGGCGCTGTAAGCCCCCCGGGGAAATTTTTGAAATTTGAACACTTCTTTGGAGAATTTTGAAGCCATATGCAGTTATATTGAGGAAATTAGAACATTGAAATTTTTTTTAATTAACTGTATATTTATTGATAGTGTACAAATTCCCAACACACACACACACACACAAAAAGTGAGACATGACTGGAGTCATTCGTGTGGTTTCAAGTCGACCAGCCCTGATATGTGGAGGCCCCCAGATTGTGGAGGCCCCTGGGCAGCTGCCCACTTTGCCCACTCCTGAATCCGGCCCTGGTTCCCCTTAAAATTTCTGACGAATTATTTGTAGATGGGTTGAAAAGAGAACCGCTAGAACAACACCGGAAAGTTGGAAAATTGTACATGAGTTGGCGAATTGCATAATTTGTTCTCAGGTATTTTTAAACAGAAGTACTATACAGCAGTAAGAAACTCACCTCAAAGACTACCACTGCGATCTTGCTTCGATTTTCACTTGGGTTTGGGTTGGATGTGAATATAGGGTGTAGGAGCCAGCCTAGCCAATGCATGCCCATTACTTGCCACCCAAAAGGCTAACGAGCCGATCAGTGGCGAAGAGGATAAAAGTAAAAGTAAAGTGATATATTAATGAAAATAGACTCACTCATCGTAGTAATTTTTCGCCAGAACATTGTGTGAGGAAACGTTTTGAGAGGCACTTCCTTCCCAAAGAACACCCGGCATTATGTTATAATAGTACTACGAAGAAATACGCTAACCCATTTATTTCTCAAATGTTAAGAACTAACTATCCTGCACAGAAATAGTTAGATTGGGTTTGAATTTTCTACTTTCAAAAAGATGTGAAGTACAAAGATCAATAAGTTGAAAACAAATAGAAATTAATCTACATATATCTTTGGAGTTATGTTTCTGGTAGTTCAGTAGCATAAGTGGACCTGACAATAATAACATTTAAGAATAAATAAAATCTCACGATTGACAATGTACTGTACATTCTTCAACTTAGTGTCTTTCTAATTTTAGAGATTTCAGGTCCTTAACAATTGAGTACCATTCCTCCTTTAATCTCAGCATGGGAAAACGTTGCTGGTAAACCAGATTTAATAGGCGAGTTACTGAGTAGTAGTGTACTTGAAAATTTGGAACCATATTTAAGGTGTGGCGACATTTGTTCACAAGACAAATGCTCACAAGGCATACTATACTAACAACACTAATAAAAGGAAGACATGTTAGGTTAGGTTATGTTTGTCTTGTGAGCAAATGTCATGGAAGCACATTTTTAGTATACATTTAGTGTACATTGAATGACATGGTTTTGTCGTGAACCAAGTAACAGTTAAATCTGAAGGACAACATTACAAGGTGGCTGGTGCCAACGGGGACTCCAGCTTGGCTACTATACCCTCCTCGTTTGTTATAATGTGGTCCAGTCGTTTGGGTGTTTGCTTCCCTCTGTAATGTGTCGGGTCCTAAACATGTTGGAACAGAAAATTATCTCTCAGAGTTTCCACACAAATAGTAATGGGGTTATTTAATTCTCAGCAGTTGCAGCATTTGCTAAATACATTGTATTTTGCCAATTAGTGGCGAAGAGGATGAAAATATAAGACAAGAAAAGTAAATAAAGAATAAGAAAACTTAACCAAGGAAATTAAAGATTATATAAGTTATATTAATAGAAAAAATAGAAATATGCTCAACTGATGAAATCAATTTATTATTTTTCCCCCATTAAATAATGATATAGTTAGTGGGAATATAATTCTTCCCCTGCATTACAACACTACGTAACAGAGACGTGAACGACGGCCACAACGGCTAACGAGCCGATCAATAATGAAGAGAATAAAAGTAAAAGTGTTAAATGTTACAGATTGAAAAGTTTATTATTATTATTATTATTATTATTATTATTATTATTATTATTATTATTATTATTATTATTATTATTATTATTATTATTATTATTATTATTATTATTATTATTATTATTATTATTATTATTATTATTATTATCATAATTATTATTATTATTATTATATTATTATTATTATTATTATTATTATTATTATTATTATTATTATTATTATTATTATTATTATTATTGTCGTCATCTACTGCTGAGACTATTTAACACAATATTAACCTTTGTAAAGTTTTAAAATTTGGGGCCAGACACTGGTGAAATGATAATCCCTTTATTTATCACCAGCATATCAAATATAGTTCATGATAACGAATTTTAAATAGATCGACTTAAAATTACTTAACATAATATTAAGTTTGCGTAATGTTTCCCGGTTGAGTGGTTATTGTTTTGTGTTGTGTTAAATGATAATATTTCCACTTATGTTCGTGGTGTACCTTAACATAGACCATAGTGGTGACAGACACAACACTGGAGGGAGGAGGACTGTGGCTCCATGTGCTGTCTTCCAACCAACTGTACATGTCTAGATTTATTAATTAGAGACACGTCACAGTATTGATTAATGCTGATATTGTTCCTCTTGTCTTAACAGGGGAGAACTTTGTTGGTAGATAATGATACATCAGAAATAGAAGGTGAGTTAACGAGTAGTTTTTTAAAATTTGGGAGCCATATAATTTTATACTCTTAAGTTAGTAATACAAGTTTGTCATTTGAAAGTTAATTAGATTGATTTTAGATTGATTTTATTAGGAATTCGGTAATGGTGGAGGAAATGGTTAAGTTCTTACTTTATACGATCGTCCATTACAGCACGAGAACATGTCACTGGCTGGCTGCTTTTGGCATTCATTTCGCCGTGAGTAGATTGTTGTGCTGCTATTAACATATCTAACCAGAAGGCATTGTTCCAGTTTGTTCATTTTGTCCATAGATATTATTATTATAGAAGAGGCGACATTTACTAGAACCTAACCTAACCTAACCTAACCAAACCAAGCCAAGCCAAGCCAAGCCAAGCCAAGCCAAGCCAACCAAAGAAACCTCTCCAACTTTTCCTAACTTCCTAGTCCCCCGTCATTAAACAGAAAGTACTTAGTCAATCAAGAGTGCACTCATGGTAAAATACCGTAAGTAGGAACTTGGCCAGTCACGGCAAAATATCCACTCCGTACTAAGTACATAAATCGAAATGCCAAATTTTCATTGTTATATTACAGTGCACACTGTTGTAGTTTGTGGAAATATGTTAAAAAACGGATATTTTTAAAATAAATGCTACTTAACATTTGTGGTTATGAAGAACATACCTAACCAACCAAACCAAACAAACCTACCTAACCTTACCTAACTTCCCCGGTATATTAAACAGAAAGATCTTACTATGATATGGTGAAATTTGAGGCATTTTCTGGACGAAAGATGATACATCTGCATCATCTCTATGCAGCCATGGTGGGTTAGTCCTATATATTAACCATTTTTTCCCACAGATGTTCTTATCATTATATTAAGTATTTTAAAAGAGGCTACATGACTACATGTGAGGCATCTCCCAGCTTGTCCCAACTAAGCCTTCAAGCCTTAATTTTAATTCGGCGGCATGTGACCTAAGCTGTTGCGTTACCAGGGATGTAATCACTAATCAACCCCTCTAAGCCTTGCATCATGCCACACTTAGTTCAGCCATCTGCCATTGTTCAAGGTTGGTCCCTCGATCGCTGCTGTTTTTGCATAAATTTATGTTCTGCGGTACTATACATTACTGTACCACAACACAATCTGCCAAGAATAGTGTTAAAGCAGTGTTAAGACATAAAAAATTATATCAGTTATGTATACTGTAGAGTACTGTACATTCAGTACCAAGTAAATGTGAAAGTACCATGTGTTCAGGAGAAAGGACATATTGGAGCACTTTTTCTTTTGTCCTAGTTTAAGACATCATTCTTTGGGTCATTAGACTCACCCTGACAACAGGCAACCTAACATTGCTTCTTCAGGTCAGTATTATGAGACCACTTATCCAACATCCCACCTCCACTGCAAATGAAAGAAGAGCGTATATACATTGGGTGACCTGACATTGGATCAGGTTAGGTCAGTAACATGAGACCCACTAATCCCCTACCTGACCTCCATCGCAAGTGTTAAGACATAAAAAGTGATTACAGTTACAGTACGTATTACATTCAGCAGAGTGAACAGTGTATGCCTACTATAAATAAATAAATAATGGAAGCCCCTCAGAATCGAGTATGGCCGGGCCTAAGGCCACCTAGGCGTGAATTTGTTTAAGGTGTAGAAGCTATCGCCATCACAGCAACCACACCCTGTGTTAACGAGTTGCATGACCCAGTGTCAAGGAATAGTCTGAGAAGACCGGACAACTCGCCAACTGCTCTGGCTAACCATTACCCCTGAACACGTTCCGCAAGAAGACAGCATGTGCTGGTGATTACAGAATATACTGTACACTATTGTACTTGGACAGTGATGTTTGCGTAAATAAATGCAGCTCTTGTGTCTGTCCCTGCAAGATGCGTAGCTTAGACTCTCGGGAAAACTTTCCCCAGTAGAGGGTGGAAAATTCCACTATCCTGGGTTGGGTGAACAGCTCCATTTACACCTTCACGCTCGTGTCTTACATGTACAGGTATATATATATATATATATATATATATATATATATATATATATATATATATATATATATATATAAATTATATAAATAAATATATATATATTTATTTATATAATATATATATATATATATATATATATATATATATATATATTTATATATATATATTATATATATATTCATATATATCTTGATAAAATCACACTGAAAATTTTATCAAGATTTATCTTACCAGTATCCACGCTTTTCACTAGGATTACATGAACATATATATATATATATATATATATATATATATATATATATATATATATATGTATATATATATATATATATATATATATATATATATATATATATATATATATATATATATATAATTTTTTTTTTTTTTTTTTTTTACCAAATTCTGGCCAGATTCATATTGATGTTTTTGCCACGGCAATGATGCAGTGAAACCACTATGTGACTGAAACTGTGCTCTTTCATTAAATAAATTCCAACAAAGACTCAAGTGAATCATCCTTCTGAGATATAATTTAATATTATGATCATCAGTGCTAATGAATGGCTCAGCCACTGATAATTCTGGTTTTGCATTCTACTCAAAATGTTCATATACTGTGATCTGGAATCATTGCAATTCCAACATGATACAGGTTGTACCTCTCTATTCCGGCATTCTGTGGTCCGGAAACTCCCGTGGTTCGGAACGATTTTAGTTTGTCCAATAGGCAGATAGGCAGCTTTTTTTTTTCTTTTTTTTTCTGAATTATAATTATTATTACATGAGTATTAAATTTTTGCCCCTCAGGCCCCAATGTGGGTCAGTGACCTATGCCCGGGTGGGCTAATCCCTGTAAAAAACACAACAACAAGGCCGCGGGAAATTAAGGTTTGTTTACATCCGGCAGTTCGGCTGCTCTCTCTCTCTCTCTGCTTGTCTATACAGAGTACAACATTTAACCCTTCAATATATATGAGCAGTAAATAAGTGTTGCTTTCATATTCTTATGTAGAGTAATGACGATATATTTTCACATGTGCGCACTTACATACGAGCAGTCTCACTTTTTTTTTTACCATTAATGGTTAGCTACTTATATTGTTCCATTTATTAACATTAAATAACATTACAGGTACTTCAAGCAACCATATTCATTTTTTACATTAATTTTACTACAGCTAAACTCAGGGTCTTATTTTTTTCAGTTTTATATGTAGAACCAATCAGTCACTGGTTTCGTAAGCTTTAACATAAACAATGCCGGCAGCGGTCTCGTCTCCTCTAATATTCCACGTATTATTAATAAATTGTATTGTTAATTTTGCACACACGTACATTAATTCAATAAAAACAAATTCAGAAACATTAATTAAAATATATATGAACAGTAAATAAGTGTTGCTTTCATATTCTTATGTAAAGTAATGATGATATGTTTTCACGTGTGCGCATGCGCACTTACATATGTGATCTCTCTTTTTTCTTTACCATTATCGTTAGCTGCTTCTATTGTTCCATTTATTAACATTAAATAACATTACTTAAAACAATCATATTAATTTTACTACAGCTACAACCAAGGTCTTATTTTCTTCAGTTTTATATGTAGAACCAGTCAGTCACTGGTTTTGTAATCAATGAAAACAATGCTGTGTCATTTCCTCATGTGTTTTAATTTTCTACGTATTATTAATGAATTGTATTGCTCATTTTGCACATATAAACATTAATTCAATAAAAAAGACATTCAGTAATAAACAATAATGAATCTTTTGTACATAAGAGAAATGACGCTGTTTACACGATTATGCACGTCGTCTGCACGTTGGCGGGCCGTTCAAACCCGTCGAAATTCAAGTTTCCGCCTTCAAAATTTTTATTTATTTATTTTTTTGTGTGTTCCAATAAAATACGTTAAGAATTAAAAACTCGCGAAATTTGAGAAGCTACTATACGACATTTAACCCTTCAATATGTCTTCAAAGAGACCATGACGCAGAGAAAGTGGAACCCTTCAATATGTCTTCAAAGAGACCATGACGCAGAGAAAGTGGTGCTAGTGCTTCCAGGCATAAGCAAAAGTCACTATCTATCCAGGAAAAGGGTGAATTTCCATGGTCCGGCAATTTCCATGGTCCGGCACCGGTCAGGTCCCGAGGTTGCCGGACTAGAGAGGTACAACCTGTACCACATAAAAAATTGAACCTACTGATGTTTGACTTGAATCAAAGCTTTTCTTTCTGTACCAGTCACATTTTCTGCAGTTATTAAATGTAACCTCTCATTTAGGTGACTTTTAATGATTTTATGACTTTTGCCTTCATGCGAAAAAGGAGAAGCAGCCAGCAAGGCTTTCAATGATGCCCTTTATGCTATGCTTCTGTGACAGTCTGTATTAAATGGTTGTTTCTGTCTGTTAAACATTTTCTCATTATCCAGGAAGAGTACATGAGCTTTATATCTGTAACTGCCAAGTCTGTACTGTATTGTTATATGTCCATGATATACTAAACATAGTTGGGGACAAAATATAATGAATATATTATACTGTAGTTGTACTAAAATACTTTATGATAAAGTAAAATTTGTTTAGGAAGTGTCTATATAAGTATTTAATGTACATTTTCTCCTTTGTTAACAGATGACAGAAATGCAGCAGCACACAAGAATGGTCTTGGAGTTATTAGGTGATAGTCTTATACATTGTATTGCTTAACAAGTGAAACTTGTGATTTTCTCTTATTAGGAGGCATCTAACTTGCAGCAGTTTATGTCTTATATTTTGTTTCATTGGTGAAAGTTAATAGTTGAAACACCATAAGCAAAATTGAATAGATATATAAATTACAATAAAATTACTGTATACTATACTATACAGTAATTGTGATCAAGTGTTGAGTGTGTGTTTCATGACAGTACAGTACTGAGAATTTGTCTCTCAAGATTCCTGACTGCAGAAAAGAATGCATTTTCCTCTACAATTGCATTAAAAACAAAATGATGCCTAGAAGGAAGTCTCTTCAGTGTTCCTTCTCAGAGAAGGAACGCAAAAAGGTTTCTGGATTGGATTGTGATATGGCAATTGATAAGGGAGAGAAGCAACTTAAGCTTGATGACTGTAATGAAAAAACAGCTCTGAAAAATGCGATTAAACAGGACCTAAGCAGTAACAGTAAAGGGACATCTTGTATTTATGTGATAACTGATGAAAAGAAGCAAATTAGGCTTGGTGAGTGTGATGAAAAAACAGCTCTTAAAAATACATTTGAACAGGACCTAAGTAACAGTAAAGGGACTTCTTGTATTTATGTGATAACTAATGAAGGAGAGCAGCAAATTAAGCTCGATGGGTGTGATGAAAAGGCGGCTCTTAAAAACATACTTGAACAGAGCCGAAGCACTTGCACTAAAGGGAAATTTTACAAATGTCCGATATGTAGAGTTAGCTTAACAGATGATACTCGCAAGAGCCACATGGAAACTCATGCTGGAGAGAAATCTTTTGAGTGTGCTGTTTGTCCAAAGAAATTCAAATACAGACATTCTTACTCAAAACATGCTAAAAGTCATGAGGCTTATCCTTTCCGATGTTCAGAGTGTGGATTTATTTTTAGTGACAAAATTAAATTTGATATGCATATGAAGGCTCATACAGAATCCTCTTTTGAATGTGAATTTTGTGGAAAAACAACAAGAGATGAAAGTGACTTAAAACGACACCAACGGATTCATACAGGCGAGAGGCCCTATAAGTGTTTTATTTGTGAGAAGATGTTTCCTGGACTTTGCAACCTCAACAGACACATAAAAATCACACATTCTGAAGAGAGGCCATTTCAATGTAGTGTTTGCTTCAGGAGGTTTAAAGAGAAAGGTGCTCTAAAAAAACACATTCGATTCCATACAGGTGAAGAACTACATCAGTGTTTTGTTTGTGGTAAAAAGTTCATTGAGAAAAGCCATCTTGAGAGACATAGCATGAATCATACAGGAGAAAAACCATTTGAATGTTCAGTGTGTTCAGAAAGATTTAGAGACAAAACAACGCTAAAATGCCATGAGTTCCGTCATACAGGGAAAAAACCGCATGTTTGTCCTATTTGTCAGAAAAAGTTCACCCAGAAAAGTAATCTTGAGAGACACAAACGTATTCATACAGGAGAAAAACCATTTGCATGTCCAGTGTGTGCCAGAGCATTTTCAGATAAGACCTCACTTGAGGGTCACAAACTTATTCATACAGGGGAGAGGCCACATGTTTGTTCAGTTTGTGGAATAAGCTTTACACAAAAGAGCAAACTTAACAGACACATGGATGTTCATACAAAAAAGCCATATAATTGTTCGATGTGCTGTAAGAAGTTTAGAGATAAAACTTATCTCGATATTCATTTGAAAATGCATTCAGAACAGAAATTATTTGTCTGTAATGTGTGTGACAAGGGATTCATCTCGAGTAATGATATGAAAGAGCACATGTTGTTACACCCAGAAGATCAGCCATTTTCTTGTGCAATATGTGATGAAAAATTTACCGTGAAATCCTCCCAAAGAGAGCACATGAGCAGTCATACAGGAGGTAAACCCTTTTCATGTTCAGTTTGTAAAGAAAATTTTACAACAAAGCGTATATTGAAAAGACATTTACTTGCACACCAAACTAGTGAGGTCTATTGTGCAATATGTTCTAAGACATTTTCAGATGAAACAAAACTGGAAAACCACATAAACATTCATACAGGAGAGAAACCCTTTGCATGTTCTTTTTGTAAGGAAACTTTTGCAACCGAAGGAACATTGAAAAGACATTTACGTATACACAAATTTGAGGGGGTTAATTGTTCATTGTGTTCCAAGATATTTTTGAACAAAACAAAACTGGAAAAGCACATGTACAGTCATACTGGAAAGAAACCTTACAAGTGTGCTAAATGCAAGAAACAATTTATCACAATGGTTGGCCTTGAAAAGCACCTGCACAACCATACAGGAGAAAAGCCATATGATTGTTCTGAATGTGGTAAAAGTTTTGTAACTAAGCAAGGACTTGGTAAACACAAGCGTAATAGTCTCCAAAATAGGGCCCGAGAGTGTACACGGTGTAAGAAATTATTTTGCTCTATATCTCTTTTCAAACAACATATGTTAGACCATGGTGAGGAAAGTTGATAAATACAGTACAGTACCTGCTTGGACATTGCATAATGAGGAGAATAATGTCAGTCCAGAATTTGTATTGCCTGAAATGATTTTAGTAATAAGATACAGTCAATAATTAACAAATTTAAGTTGGTCATCCCTAAATGAATTGCAGATGTACAGTAAACCCTTGTTGTTCACAGGGGGATAGGTTCCAAGGAGTTGCCCAAATAGGCAAAACTGCGAATAGCAACTTATACTACCTTAGTGCACTACTGTATACCCATACCAAACAACCGACCAGCTGTGGCAGCACTCATCCCCTCTTTTAACTTATCTACTAATTCATCTTTCTTTGTCAGGGTCATCACTGACTTCTGCCTTTTACATTTCACTCCACTAGCACTGACACTAGGCAGTCTTTCAAGGGCCATTTCACACACAAACACTAAAGTTTTGAGAGTACAACACGAGATGCTGTGTCACAGGCAATGGTTGAGCACAGAGGGAGAGGAGACGCTGCGGGAGCGTGGGGTGACTCGTTGTGCTGTGGGAAAATTTGGCAAGCTAGCCACCATCTACTTCCCGGGAATTGCAAGGGTCTACTGTATATGTATTATATTAAAGGTGGAGACTTGGGACACTTTTCCCCACATTTGACCAGTGTGTTATGGGAAGTTGACAAACAAAACTTGCCATAAAGATGACCTAAGTGTTCTATTTACATGAAGTGTTATATCAGTACTTCAAGTAAAAGTTGATTATCTCAACATCTTAGGACTCGTACAGGAGAGAGCCCTTGTCAGTGTTCTGTACAGTATGTGGCAAGAGTTTTTCTAATACAGGTTGGACCCTGTTAATCCGGGACCCTATAGTCTGGCAACTTCGATGGTTCTGGATGATGTTTGAATCTGGCTGTTGTTAGTTTCTAAGACTGCCACTTGTCCAGTTGCGGGGACCACCAATCGTCCGCCAACATCAACAACATTGTTTATGTGTGCCATATCTCACTTCTAGTGGCTGTTGCCACTATTTTACCTTTATATACTTATAATTTACCCTAAATATGCCTCCTAAGAGACCAGCAAGCAGTGGAAGTGGTTGTAATTTGGCGAAATGTAAGCATGTGACATTAACTATTTTAGAAAAGGTGTCTTTACTGAAGAAATTAGACAGTAGTACATTGGTCAGGGCCTTGTGTGCAGATTATGGTTCATTGATTGTGCCATAGCACTAATACTTTGTCATAAAGAAGTCCAGAAATCCTTGGCTAGATTTTTTGCTGATGTAAGTTGTATTCATACCAATAATAGTACATTTTATTTATTATTTTGCCTTCTTTAACCTCAGTTTCAATGGTTCTGAATTTTCACTAATCTGGAACCGGTCTGGTCTCATGCTTCCCGGATTAGTGAGGTCCAACCTGTACTGTACTTATGTTCCAATAAAGCAGAGCTCTGGTTCATAGTACAGAAGAACTAGTATCTAGCGTAATATACGTACTGTAAATAATGAGCAGAAACGACTAATCTTTGTATACATGTTAACTTGTGTACTTTATGAAATAAAAGATACAGTATACTGTACCTTACAACTAAGGTAACTGAAGAGTCATTTGTTCATTCATATAAGTAAAATTTTATATCACTTATTTTTTGAGAAATGTACAGTACAGGTACTACATTTTAACCTCTTGAGAGATGTGATATGTTTTGGGGAATTTGAGTGTTGTGTTTCAGAAAGTTTAAAGGAAATGTACTTAGAGAAGACATTTGAGAACTTTATACTGTACTGTGCTGGTGAAAAGAAATATGAAATTTACAGTAACACATGACCGTTCATGAAACAGAACACAAAGGAAGATGTGTAAAATTTGTATTGTGATGAAGAAATGGATGACTGCCGATAATTTCAAAAGTTTGGGGGATTTATGTGTGAATGAAAATTTGGTTGAAAATTCTTATATTGAAACTGAGGATGATGATTAGGACAGATATGCAGTATAATATCTATCATTTCATACTGTGCATGTTTATGTAAATGAGATTTACTGTACTGTACTGTACTTTCACATTTCCTGCTCAATTCTCTGACCTGTGCCTTAGGCTTTCTTTTGCCTGTGCCTCATTTCATTGCTTATATTGTACAGTACATATGTATTCCTTAAATATATTTTGAGTAATTGTTTTCAACAGTCAGTGTTTTCCCCGAGTTGAACATAGTTTTTTTTTTTACCAACCTAACCTAATAATAACTAGTAATTGTTTTTGTGAAAGCATAAGTATTGATGTCCCTAGATGGCCTTGTGCATCACCCATGTCTTTTGAAATGCTGTACCTGTATTATGCTAAAGGTTTTTTATTATGGTCATTGTATATTTTGTGTTGTTGGTAAGACTTGATATGTTTATGATTTAATGTGCTCACTTAACAACATCTGGCATTTGTACATTTAAATTAGTGTACTGTATCTCAAATGTGTAATTTTAGGAACACAGTGTCCTAATAATGCACAGTTCCTGAAGCCTCACACTCATTATGAATCAATACAGGATAGATAGATACAGTAGACAGATTTATGGTGAGTATGTATGTTTATCCAAGTGTTAAAGTGTAACATTTACAAACAGAAAAGACTGCAAGAACTATTAAATGAATTGTATACTTCACAACTAGACTGATTAGGTGTTGTGTGTTTTTGTGAAAGGTTTTAACATTACTAAAGAATGTTATTTGTTTTCACTTATCAACAGTGTTTTAATTTTTAATAAACATATCATCTAACTATTTTGCTCTAGTAACCCTCTGCAACTCCTGGTTACGGTCGGAAATCTCACCTCCTTGCAGTCGATGTAAATACAGTAGCATCGTTTACAATCTCCCCTCCTCGCAGTCTTTCGATGCAGGTTGCCTCAGTAACAGAAATGGTTTTTCTCTTTTATTAAATATTGGGTAGAGCGATCCAGACCCAAATTGCGTCCCTTAGAGATGCATCTGCCAGTTCACGAGGCTAGTGGGAGGAACTTAGGTCGTTGATAGGACCAGTCTTCTTTTCCAGCATTTCTGCTTATGGTTATGCTCTCAGTATGAGGTATGGCTGAGCGATTGGGGATACGCCAGCATGGGAGTGCTTAACGACGCAAGCTGCATCAAAAGATCATGGGAGGGTTAAATGTTTTTTTTATTTCTTGCCTGGGTGGGCTAATTCCCCCCCCCCCCCCAAAAAAAAAATTTGAAAAGACAAATATCATTACTTATTACATGCCCTAAACAATAGAGTTTTAAATATCCATTCACAGGGCACTGGACATACTTGGAAGCTAACCAGTCACAAGCACATCTGTGCCAATCACATACTGTAGGGCTACAAAATCTGTCATGGGATCACGTCAATTTCTTAAGGGTAATTCTTACAATCTAGTCAGTTTTGAGTTTGCAATGGATCAAGTAAATTGCAATCAAGTCGTAGGATGGAACACTTTATGAGCTGAATTGGCATAAAAACAACAGAGGCCTATTCATGCCTGGCAGTTACATTTCAGAGCAGTGAGCAGTTAACAGGTTTCTCTCAAATGATTAATGACTTAATTAAATACAAAATTGACAATTTCAATACTGTCATCCAATTCTCGGATGATTGTGAATCAAAGCAATATGACTTCTGTGGTGATCAGACATTTCATAGTCTCTCCCTGAATGAAAGTAGGATTTGTACAACATTGATCACCCCCAAAACTTTACTTATTTGACACTGTTACTACAAGTAAATGTAGATGAAGCTATCAACATCACTTTCAATGGATCTTGAATGTTTCAGCTATAAACAAGTTTATATATCTTACAGTAATACATACACATTCATTCGTAATTTTATATATACGAATACAACATTGGATACTAGAGATTCTGAAATGGCCAATAGGGAAAATTAATGTCTCAGTGGGGGGCTCAAGAAACAAGTTATAGCTACATTTTTATGGACTACAAGTATAATATCGATCGTCTGATTTTAAATTAACTAACATGTATGACTGTGGTCAGTACAACTACAGACATTAAAAAAAACCCAGATCATCAAGCACCGGTACACACATAACACACAAGTACTATGACTACATTGAAACTATTTGCAAAAATAACTTAAACTCAGAGTGGTGTTATTATTTTTATAATAAAAATATTAATATTTATTACATATTATTATTATTACTGTATTATTATTATTATTATTATTATTATTATTATTATTATTATTATTATTATTATTATATAATATTAATTATAACTTGGCGAGTCCGCTTCACATCACATCAGTCAAACTCACACATCGCAAGAATGGCCCGTAGCTGTTTGACCAAATGTACGACAAACGCCAGTCCAATCACTACAGCAACCCTCATGACGACGTATTCAACAGTCTCCAACTACTACCGGAACCTTTGAACTTCAGAGCTCATGTCGTATAGCTACGGGTCATCATAAATATTTTCCTCTGTGAGTACCAGAGGTTGATCAAAATAACCGAAGGACTCTGTGTCATATAGATTGGGGTCATCATATATGTTTTCCTCGGTAAGTACCAAAGGTTGATCAAAATAACCAAAGGATTCCTTGTCATATAGATTGGGGTCATATATGTTTTCCTCAGTAAGTATCAAAGGTTGATCAAAATAACCAAAGGACTCCGTGTCATATGGCACAGGGTCATCATATATGTTTTCCTCGGTAGGTACCAGAGGTTGATCAAAATAACCAAAGGACTCCGTGTCATATAGATTGGTGTCATCGTATATGTTTTCCTCTGTGAGTACCAGAGGTTGATCAAAATAGCCAGAGGACCTCGTGTCTGAGGCAGTGTTTTTCACCCAATGGAAACCATCTTCAGTCTGAGATAAGACGTCGAAGACCACAAAAGGCATAGGCAGCCCGCTCCTCCATGGGAATACTATACGTAGCTCAGGACAGTCACAACTATTGTACAATGTCTTGAAACTGACTGTAGTTTTATAAATAACTTTTTTTTGTTACATTACCTTGATTACCAAACTCTTCTGGGTTCCCCACAGGTCGACTTTAAACTGTTGAAAGCCAGGGAGATTTTGATCAATACGGTTCATTTCAGATTCTACCCATGATTCTTGAAATTAAATCTTTTAGCTCTTCAAGGTCTTCTGGCCAAAAAGTTGCAAAAAACAGTTGGATCTCTTTTCTTTAATACTGAATTTGAGACCCGTTGGCATCTGTGCAACATATACTGCGGCTGCCATTGAAAAACTCATGGCCCTAAAAACATGTTCGCCTTCGTAACCCATTTTTTATTTATCAAAGTAATTTGTGAAACATGTACAGCAGG